TTTACTAGAAAAATTATGCTATTTATTATTTGAATAATAATCTACATCATTGTGACAAAAACAATTATAATCTCGACAAATCACAACACGAAACATCTCTTTTTAGACACTTCATTATGTAGTTGATTTATTTAGTCTGCATTGAATATTTGGTAGGCTGTACCGATAACTACGTTGAATGCAGCGTTGTGACAGCATAGAGTAACAATGAAATAAATCTATTTTTGAAGTTGGAATTATTTGATTTAACCTCAATATGACAGCACTGCGCTCGAGGTCAAGTTCTGTTTATATAACAGCTTTACATTGCAAGACTTCCAAAAATATCAAAGTGTTTATAAAGTTAGAACACCATTCATTTAGTATAGTAAGTATAATACACAGCACGTCAGGGTAATACAAAGGTCGATTTTTCCAAATGCATTCAACCCTTAATTAATTAATCACGGTTTAGGCTTTTGTTAATTTGTTGTGCTGGTGTGTGTAAAGCCCGATTCGCACTTTTATAAACACCGGCAAATTAATTAATAGTACGTCTAAAGGTTTGAATGTGAATACAAGTAAAATTGTTGATCACTTTGATTGTTGTAATAAGGTACAAAAAACAGGTAAAAAATGATAAAAAAAAGCTTTAGTTATATATTTTTTTCATAACTTAATATATATTTCAAACGTTTTGCTAGTACCTAGTGTTCTCAACGTTATAAAGACTGTTCCAATATTTTTTTATCACTTTGATTGAATCTAATTGTTTGGCCATCTTGGCCGTGACCGTGCCCAAGTATTTGATGATGATATAAACATTTATTTCAATCTTAAATGTTAAATTGACAGACAATTTCGGCGCTATGATACTATGTACCGAAAATAGAAATATTAAGAAGAATACTTATAAAACAGTATATGTACTTATAAAACTGGAAAACTTAACACTCCTAATAAGAAATATATAGTGAATGGAACATACAGTCGTTTATAATATCACGTGTTTCCAGAAAATAAAGGGAATTATAGTTTACAAGAAGAAGTACTCTAAGAAGAGTTATCATGATAAAATTTCTTAGAAGTGAAAACAAGAATAGATTCCAGAAATAATATGCTTTCAGGTGCAAAAAAGTGAGTTTAGGTATTTTTTATCTGCATCTTAATATGTATTACTTTCTGTTATATGTATCTATTATATTCATACATTATGAATGTATAGCTTTCTCATATTATTAACTACTGTGTATACAAAATTCATGGTTAATTTTCATTAAATTATTATCAAAAAAATTAGGGTCCAAACTTTATCTCGCAATAGACCTTATTATTAAGCGGCGAGTTCAGACGCTATTTCAGATTCAGTATGTTCTACTACAAACGCATTCTTTACCAACGTACAAAGTTCTGCAGGGTCATAATGGTACAATTGTCTTGTTATGTCATGTCTTTTTTGATACATTATATAATTTTAATTATTATTCATTAACATATCATTTACTTTAATCAATAAATAAACTAGAAAATGTTATATAATACCTGCTGCATTTTTAAATGCAAAAATATAATATTTTAACATAATTAAATAAAACTTATTTGGACCCACTACAACACAAATAAGACGGAAATAGTATTCACAACCTGTATTATTGAGTCGTCATTAAACTAATACTAATAGAGTCGCAAATAGCGTATAGCTATCATACCCTTAAAGGTAAAATGGACATGTTACTAATTTTATAGTACAAATAATTCATATTTTAAGTTCTTCACAAAGATTTCATGAAGAGAACGAAAATCATTGAGCTAAATAGTAATATATTACGATCCAATAAAACATAATTGAAATAAATTATGTTTTTTAAATAATAAATATGTGATACACGAAACTCACGAAAATGTTACAAAATTGATTAAAATATTAACAAACAAGAATTAGTTTGAATTTAACAATTCACACCGTTTACATCTTATTACATTCAGGCTCGATATTTTATGTAATCGTTTCAGTCTCCTTTGGATAATAATTATTAGGGTCAAGTTTTCAAATTGCTGTACTGTAAAAGCAGTATCATGTCAGAGAGTATATTTATAGGACATATTTGTTAAGGCCCTAGTGGAATCATGGTGAGTGTGTACTAAGAGATCTTCATACCGGTGTCCAGTTGCAGCAGCTGCTTCATGAGCTCGTACGTGGAGAATGATGTGGCGACCATCGGTATGGCGCGCATGTAGTTGATACTCATGCCGCGGTACAGCCCCCGCACTATACCGTTCTCGGCGTATATCAGCTTCAGGGTCTTCACCATGCCAGTACTGTAATACATCGCGTTGGGTTATACGTTATTAGAGTATAGGTATAAACGACTGGGTAAAAAAAAGAATTTCTATTTATAGCCAGTTGCACAGACGTCCGTTAAAATTTTCATTAGTTTAAAGTGACATTACCCATACAATTTTGACATTCACTAGAGCTTAAAGGCGTCATTAAACCTTAAAGGACGTTTGTACAACTGACCGTTAGTCCGTCAGTCAGATAATAGAAAAATATGAGATAGGTATTTGTTTTTGCTTCAATTTAAATAATTGGCTTAGATATTAGGCATTAAAGTTGAGGAGTGGGGGCTCGTTACGTCACAGTTTTGTAGAAAATGTACCTTAGCGTGACGTCATGCGACATTTCAACTCAATGTATCACCGTAATTTATTTGAATACGCGAATAATTAAAAAAATACTTATTTAATATTCTTCAATAATCCACCTGACGGACAGACAAGCAAAAATTGAAACTATTTATTATTGTGACTAACTGACATGTTTAGATTTACAGCGATATTGATGAATTACCATTTGAGCCCATTGAGTGTTCGAATACTCGTTACCTTAATTATGAATCGGATGAATATAGTTTATCGAAACTATAGTCTTTATTGTTTCTATTAATATTGTATTGTAGTCAACAGCACGTCAGACTATACAAATCTGTCAAATTTCTTCACTTGATGTTAAACCTTAATATTTTGAAGACAGAGTTTAAAATCAACTGAAGAAATTTAACACATTGTGGTAACCTGACGTACGTCGCAAACCGCGTTTACAAAGGCAGACTGCTTTAGTCATCTATCTAAAAAAAAAATATTGGTGAAAAATCTTGGTGGAAAGGGGGAGGTGTCAGTGTTAGCAGTGGGTCCTAGCTTCCTAACCTAGGGGTCAGTAAAAAATATGTTTCGTTAATAAAAATTAAATATTTTTTTTACTAAATCTTTTACAGAAATTAGGGATTTAGTAGTATTGATTGAACGTTATGCATAGCATTAACATACTATGGACTAAGTGGGCATTGAAAACTTCACATAAAAATTAACAATGATTATAAAATTATATGAATGTGGGTAATATGAAATGAAATTATATGAACAAATGCTGTAAATTAAATACTAAAAACAAAAATAATTAATTTGTTTCAAAACAGGCTGGAAAAAATAAACAAAACTGAAGAATAGAATAGTTAGTATAAGATTTAATGTATTTTTGATTTCAATACTAATTATTATATGCTGTGAATGAGATGCCAAATTAAAAATAATAATTATAATAATATTTAACGCACCTCCTATAAACGTAGTCAAACACCATACCATTGTGTACCCATGCGAAAGAAACGGTGTATGTTAATTAAGTTGCTACAATAGAATAGGTATGTTATTAAGACTTATATTATTTACATAAGGTTAAAAATAAAAATATTAAGTATCGAATACAGTACTATACAGTAAAATAATAATATGCTTTATTCCAAACAAAAAGAAAAAGAAACTTAAGTAATTTAGTCCTAAATTCAAATTTTAACGTTATAATAATAACAAGGAAAACTAGGGATTGTTGTAGGTAAAATAATTTTTAGAATTGTTAGTGTTTAGTGTCAATTAAGAGCCGAATAACAGCACATCTGGTTATACAAACCTGACAAACTCCACATGATTTTAAACCTTATTACTTTAAGAATACAGCTTAAATCAACTTTAGAAATTCGACATCTTGTGCTAACGTGATGTGCAGCCGTGTGTACAGTGATTATTAACAGTTGTGCAAAATAATCTTTCGTAAGAAAAGTGAAAATTGGAAGATCATGTGTGAGCAAACATTATCTTCCAATTTTCATTAAAGAGCGAAAAGGATAAAAAAGATTGCACTGATTTTTATAAAACATATAAAATATTTGTAGATTTTTGCATGATGTACCTATAGAAAAGTTAACAAGTAAACTAAGCACCAAAGGTATAATTTATAGTCTGGCTGTTGTTACTAAATAAAAGTAATAAAACAAATTTTGCCGAAGCTTTATACAAAAATGGTAGATCTGTACAAGAGACTCAAGAGTGCGGTGTTGCCACCTAAAATAGGTGTAATTTTTCACTCCGCAAGAACTCTTTAGAATCCACCACGTGTTTTGACCACAGTCTAGTTCCTTTTTGTTTTTGTATGAGTACAAAAAAGATAAATGACAAAGACAGAATCCACACCGACAAAGATATTTTTACTCTATTACCAAAAACTACTAAGATAAAGTTATCGATAATAAGTATGAGAGTCATGCGGCTACATGATTCACATAAACGGATGTCACGTCGCACGATCGCCTAGGGTAAGGTCAGACGTCGAATGGCATAGCGAACTGACTACCTATGGACGTTATTCGCGATAGACAGTTATTCAACTACTGATTTACCTGAACCGCGATCACTAGTGATTCAGTGTTACAATAACTATCTATTTTCCACGACGCTTTAAAGTAAAGCTGAATTCACTCTTAATTAAATTACTTAAGGTTGATGTTTGAACGACTGGCTTTACAATAACCGCGATTACCAAGAAGCGGCGATTCGAACGATATGTCTATGTATCGTTGCGAACTTGCATTACATGAAGTCATATGTATATGTATTACCGTCATTTTAAAGTATTAATCTCATAAAGACGGTCATGTAATGCAATTTTTAAAACCGTATAGTATGTAACACGTAATGTTAAGCGTTTAAATACTATGGATCGCAAACAATGCAACCTGTTATGTTTGAATGAAACAACAACAATGTCAGTATACGTGTGAATGAAATAGGTATATGTTTGTAAGTTCCGCGTTGCTCGGTTTTCGGAGTGATTAAGTAACCAACCCAAAATTGAGCTTTATCACATTTATATAAGAGTAAAATTCGCTTTGACTTTGTAGCGTTGTAGAAATAGCTAGTTATCAAAAATAGACAGTTTTGATATCGGTGATTGGCGATCTGATAGCGGTTACGTTATGTGATTTTAAAAAAAATAGATAACGACTCATGTAGAGCTAGAACTGACCCGAACTTGGCCGTGTGCGGGTCCATGCACGCGAGCTGCATGCGGCGGCGCGTCACGTCCAGCGGGTACGATACGGACTGCGCCACCGCGCCCGCGAGACCGCCGCACAACAACTTACCCCACACGGTCAACACCAGCCCGCCTACACGGAACATTATATTGATACATGTACCAGGAAATTTATAATATCGTAAGATTCTAAGGAAGAGATAAATTGTATTATTTTACGCTGACATTTTACGTGATGTCTCGTGGTAAATGTTATTAACTAATGTTAGATTCTGAACGATTTGACCAATCACAGAAAAGCTTTTAAAGCAACACATTGTGCGATTCATTTTTATTTATATAGAAAGATAATAACTGCAGTTCCCCTTTAAAGATGTTGATGGGTTTTTGACACGTTTTTGTTCAGTTTGTTATTTTTTTATTTAGATACAATTGCAAAAACATTTATTAAAATTCTCATTTGTTTAAAGTGATATTACCCATACGAATTTGACATTCATTAGAGCTTAAAGGCGTCATTAAACCTTGATGGATGTTTGTGCAACTGACCGTTAGTATCTGAGCGATTATGTATTACGTTCTGATTTGCTGTTTTTTCTATAAAAATAGTAATCAACCGAACCTATTATGAAATCTAGAAATAATATAATAATGTCTAGCGAGTATTATTACTAATAAAAGAGAATATGATATGTTTCATCCAGTTTCAAAGACTTACCTGTATTCCTATCGCATTTGCGACATAACGTGTTGGGCAGGTACTTCATGCAGAAGAACTTGAGCGACTCGAAGCAATAGAAGCTGAAGCCCGCGTAGGGGACCATGCCCATCATAGTCGGCACAAAGCCGCGGTACAACGCTCGGATACCACCCTCCTGGATACAACAAAATAATGATTATGTAATGACAAGAATTATTTTATCATCACCAAGGCGATGCATTTCATTTGGTTTCACAATAATTTATGGTTTTTTTTTTTTTTGCTTTAATTGAAGGGAATAGTTGACCTAATCAAAAAGAGGATTTACGTCAACCCTGTCAAGAACCATAATCTAAATAGATTTAAGCTTTTGTGGTTGAGTCTAATGGTATGTAATTACCATTTGTCATTACCGCCTAATAGTAAAACGTCGAGTACAAAATCCCGAGGATCAAAGATCGAGTTAGAGATGTTAGTTATAATAACAATAAGCTATGGCAGTATTTGACGTTAATCCAATTTCGTAGTTACAAAACTATTAACACATTATCTTGTTAGCGTACAATTAACAGACATCTGAAAACTTATGCGCCATTGGTAACATTGGAAGATGTTATTGTATAAGAAAAAAAGAGATTGGAAAGGAGATCATACACCATTTAAAACCATAGATTATACAAACTTCCCTTGCACAAACGTCCATTAAAAATCTCCTTAGTTCAGTTTAAAGCGGCATTACCGATACAAATTTTCAATGCGTCATCACCTCTTATGAATGCTAATTTGTATGGGTAATTTAAAGAAATGATATTTTTAATGCACGTTTGTGCAACTGGCTGAGTCGTATAGCTCTGCACATGGCATTTGCACAAACTCATAGTTGATTATGTAATTCGACGAAGACATGATCGTGTGTTGGAGATTTTACACGGCCATTTGCATATACATCTTACGCAGTTAGTACACCGACGCATTCACTTGCGAATGCAAACAGGGTCACCTTTCAGTAACCTTTAGAGGAACAAAATTTGTGACATTCGGATAGTTATCAGAAATCGGGACGGGTGGGAACTGAATGCGAAACATGTGCGTCTGTGTAACGATGTTTTTCGTAGTTCACTGCGAAACCGTATTCACATGACGCAGCTATTTTATCGAGCTAATAATAGGGCGAGACTAAGCGCATGCTAAAAATTGCCATACAACTGACAAGATTCCGCTAATGCTTCGCTTTCGCATGCGAATGCGTCGTTGTACTAACGGCGTTAAAGGTACGCTGGGCTAATTAGTCTTGCTATTTTGTTTTGTTCTCACCGAGCGGAACATGGTGGCGGCGGCGTGCGCTATGCCCGTGTACCGATGTTCGCCGGTGATCTGGAAGGCGAGTCTCGCCCGTATCGTGTCCAGCGGGTATGTGAGCGTGACCGCAGTCACTCCCGCACCCGCGCCCGCTATGAACTTATCCCCGTGCTGCACCAGGGGTATGTGGACGCCGGTTAAGTACTGAAAAAGAATTTAAAAAAAATCTCATTTAAACAAACCGTACACCTAATCAATAATCAAACACATAAATCCAAAGACCTCTTAGTATAGTTTTTGTTTAAATTTTTGGACGACCTTGGGCATTGTTAGGCCCATTGCAAGGGCGTCGCGGGCAGATGGCCCGGGGTGGGGGGTGGCAAATTGACTATGAAACATGTTATTACGTTTATTAGAAAAATATAGGTCATTAAACTTTAATGGACGTTTGCGCAACTGACCGTTTATCGATCAAGCAAGTCAAGTCAAAGGACTTTGGTTGCTTTACGACAGGCAACTTTTTAGAATCTCTAGGCGTGGAAGCCCCCCATGGCCAGCAACCCATTGTACACAAGGCTGTGAGTTTAGCTCCATGTTTATATTGTACAGTCGACAGTACATCTGCTTATACAAATTTGTCTAAGTAATCCAGGTAATTTTAAACATTAATGCATTGTAGTAGAGTACAGAATCAACTGCAGAATTAGACGTAATTTGCTGCTATTACTAAGCAAACTAAGAATTTTCCTTGTTAGTGAAATAGGTAAATTATTAATATAATTGATCACTATGTAGGTAAAGTAAGGTAGGTAAAACAAATACCTACTACGAGTAGCATACTAATCGATCGTATTCTTTATGATCACTTATTACATACATTTATTGGACATCAATTTACACTATCTCTGTGTCTGATGATTATAGAAACAGAAACAAGAATCTGCAAGTTTTGTTTTCACTTATTAATTCCGATGAACCGTAGCCTCCTTATTCACGGGGCACGCCCAGAATCAGGTTTTCTTTTTTATTTACATTTAGTATCATCGTCATGAGTGGCATTACACTTTCTCTTATTCGAGATAATGTCGCAGAGACAAACGTGACATCTGAATGTTTGTAAGGACGGCACCACAGAAATTGTTTACCTTTGTCTGCTAGCAAATATTCTAATATTTATATTACCTTATATGGAGTAGGTGTCTGTCAACGCAAATGATTTCTTAAAAGCAAAGGGAAACATAATACGTATGCTAGTATTGTTTTCCAATAAAGGTAAGTTACCGTAAATAAATTTGAAAATCATCGTCAGATTTATTCATAATTAATTTGATCTTACCTAAGTTAGAATTAAGGTAGTTTTTAACATAACGGAACAAATTATTTTACGTTTACAATATTTAATCAATGGTTGAATTTTCTATATTAATTCATTTAATTTACAAAATACGACTATTGCATTTTTATACATTTAATAATAAGCACAATGACTATACGCATCCATCGGTGCGGTGGCAACTAGCAGAGTCAACTATCGATTCGTGCCAAGTAACGGGCAATCAGTCTACGATTCTAGCAATTCTACCATAAGTTGTTCAATATCAGCCTCGTGTAATATATTTAACGTAAACTTGTCACGTGCCTTATTTTATTTAGGGCATTGTTTCTCGCGCCAAATAGTAAAATAAAGATATATTGCGACGCGCTGTAATAATTGCCAGTTTCAATTAAGGCATTAGGTACATTGACTTAATAAAAATAATAATCAATTATTGTACATGGTATTAAGTTATTCAATAATTATTACAGTTCGTGTGACACCCTTTAAGGGTTGTACAAATTCAAATTTGATTTCAAATAGTTTAAGTTTTAAACTTTTTTTTGCAGTTTCAGTCCGAAATTAATTAATAAGATTTGATTAAGAATTACTTTAAATATGCGAACTTCTGTTTTATAGAATGCATTCATACCATTGTAGACCGAATGCGATGTGTCATAGAGTCCCAATTTCGGGATATCGTAATATTGACCTGACCTTCCTGGGAAGGTACAACCCAAATCCCCATTTCTGAGAACTGATTACAGTGGTAGTAAATGTGATTTAAACAAAGGCATGTAACCAAAGGAAAAAATGTTAAGGCTCTCTTGTACCTCCGCTTATGTTCCCATACGAATACGCATCTGAAATAAAGACGCGTTCACATGATTTCATACTTTTTTATTCGAGAAAAAAAAAACGAATGCGTTTAGATTATATCAACACTTCTTATTTTTTTATATAATTAAGATGTAATATTTATATTTATCGTAAAATCGATCCAAAAACCTATTTAGAGTCATCTTTGCGATTTTTTTCTATCGTTTATATTATTGCGATTTATGTTTCCGTTTTTAACAAACAATTGATCATATGTTTAAGTTTTGAAAACAATTGATCATAAAGTGGTAATTCCGTATTATTTCGCCTTAAATAACTCTGTGAAGCCGCTGACCGAAAGCTCATTTTTACGAGTATTCACGCCCCAGTTATCGATAATCAAACTTAGTTTATTCACGTTTGTAAAAATAAATAAAATTACAATATTGTTGACCTACATTACTGAAAATATTACTTTGAAATGTATAATGGTAAAAATTTTGATCATTATGAAGTATGCGCCTGTGTTATGTTACAGTTTTCCCTACCCGTGAAACGGAGTCTTAACAATAGCAAAATTTAATGATCATATTATATTACACAGTATTTGTGAACTCCTATGCACTCGAAAATAGGCAAATTGCAAGCGATAATGAGCGCAGTTACTTCCAATTTTAGTGAAAAGGTTAAATATTTGAAGATAACATACGTGAATAATCTAATTATTTAAATCAGCTGAATCATTATGTTCTGTAATTAACGAAAATACATTAAAATTCGTCTGATATCAGTGTACAAACGGCGGGAAGCGACTATACTATGTTTATATTGTAATTTGGCCATAAATTAATTTATCTTATAATTGATAATAAAAGGATATAACAATACTGTCAAATTGCATTACATTATCTTTGTATGTTATTATGATAAACAGAGGTCGATGCTGGAATATCGAGTATAGGACCACATTCAGTGGCGTAAAGAAAAACGACCGAGTGTCTCTTGGTCAGATGCACAAAAGTTCATTAAGGTTTAATGATGGCTTTTAGCTCTAATGAATGTCTAATTAGATTCTATTTAGGTATAAGTTATATCGCTTTAAATTAATGACAATTTTAATAGACGTTAGTGCAACTGGCTGTCTGTCTTATTGCGCCTGTCAAGGAGATCGATAGGGACAGAGGATGTAAAAACGGATTTTAATTAATTACTCTCAAATTATAATTATTATTGTAAAAAAGTTATGTACAATTCCCTCGGCTATAAAGTAACTCATATATTTATAAGAAAAAAATGGTGAATTAATGTTTTCTTCGTAAACATTTTCAACTGACTTAAACTGAAGGCAGGTAAAGGTGATCAAACTATATACATTGCGTAATAATCTAAAGTTTTTGCACTAGTTTCCTCCAAATATCTTGATCGCACGGAACTGAAAATGTTCAGTTTCGCAAATAGACAGGCTGCAAGATTGGAAGCCCTACCATGGCGTATGGATTATTCGGGCCGCTCTGCAAGGGACGTGACGCTAGGAGAGCATTAATTAATCTAATTAATATTATAAAGAGGTATAGCTTCTAACTTTGTTTGTTTGTTTGTAGGTGGTAATCTTATGTGATCATTAAAATTCACCTACGGGAAGCTACATCATACTTGGGTGACATTGGTAATAATTGACGCAGGAGAAACAGCTAATAAAGGCCAGTGGACCGATTTGAAGATTTCTAGTGTCGTTTTCCACAAATAAAGTAGCTAGATAGGCATATATGTATGTTGAGGATCGTCAGCTGAACCGACCTTTTTTATACGTTGTCTTTGTTTTTATAGTTTTTTTATTATATTTGATTTTTATTTAATTTTGTTTTTGTATTGACATATGGATTATTATCGATTGTCACGAGCTTTGACGAGTACATTTGTTTTGTGGACAATATAGTTTTGAGAAGATAAATTGTTTATTTTCGCATCTGTGCCCACACCATTCCTCGTCACCCTCTTCGTCGATAACAATGTATATAATAATAAACGTGATATGGACACCTAACGAAGATATCTAGCACATTTGAAAAAAAAAAGAATACTTCCTGGTATGCAACGTAACGGCTGTGAAGCATCCCTTGCAAATAACCAGAATGCCAGAGATTATCCGGCCGTAGGTATACCCGGTTTAAAAAAATACGAAACGAATTTAATAAATCTATTCAGTGATCAGAAAATTCATTCTTCAACTTAGGAAATGAATTAGCACTCATACTGAACTGAGTTCTTGGGAATACTTCTTATGATTTTTAAAATGCTTCTCGTATCTTGGTCATAATAAAATAAACCTATAAACCTAGGTGTTAAATAACGTTAATCACCCAACAACGAATTCCGTGATGTCTGTGTTGCATGCATTTATAAAATTGCATAAAACATTAAATTGTATTTTGACGTTTTCCAATAAAATAAATATACTACCTATGTACATCTTAAAAAAATCCCATTCTGATTCATTTTTTATTTAAATTTAGTTTATTTTTATTGAACACTTGGCAGTGTGACAATTTTAAAGACATTTGCTAATGATTGTATTACACTGAATAAACACATTATCATTTTCTTTGATAATATTTGTTGGATCAAGATAAAAATGAAACAGATAAACTATTGTATGTATTACAAAACAAAAACAAAACTTATAATGGGAATAAATCAAAATAGCAATTGTGAAAATAAAACTTATTTGAAGATGACAGAGATTATATATGATTTTTATTATAATGGATTAAATATGTATCTTGTACTAAAATGTATGCATTTTTTTTTTTTCACCTGCCCTTTTACGTCCCCACTGCAGGGGCTCAGGCCTTCCTTATGGATGGTTAAGGAGGATGGGCCATGACCCTCCACGCTGGCCCAATGCGGATTGGAGGGTATTAACGACTGCAAATGCAGCCGGGACCAACGGCTTAACGTGCCTTCCGAAGCACGGAGTAGCTCGAGATAATAATTTTTTGGTCACTCATCCCGTGACCGACCCTTGCGAAAGTTGCTTAACGACTACGATCGCGGGCCGCGGCGCTTATCCACTACGCCACCGAGCTACTCATACATGTATGCATACATGATTTGAACTGCAATTTCCTCAAAAAATATAAGTCTTAAGAAAAAAATGGTGGCCAAGAATGGGTGGGACTTGCAAAGGATTCTTCCCAATTAATATATTATAAAGCCATAGAATACTTATGTTTATTTTTGTATCCGTTCAATACGACAGACAGTACTCTCAAAATCATGAATTCATAATCTATACTATAGGTTTACCAGGATGTAATGGCAAATCAGGGCATTTTAATATGTAGAACGCAACATTAGGGTAAAAGGATAAATGTGTCTTGATACTTGTAATATCTTTGAAATAATTACATTTTTCAATAACTGCCTCATAGCATTGAACGTACTCCTGACCATATACCTATCTCTGTAAATTTTGACACACACTTTAAAATAAAAAAAAAAATCGCTGATCTTAAGCTTCGTTTCACAAATTTTGCTAAAAACATTTAAAATAATATTTCTCGCTTGAGATATCAATGTCCCTTTGGCCATTTTCATAAAAGAAATTAATATTTTCAGAAATAGTCTTCTTCTTCTTTTATTAATGGCTTATCTGCGCATTTCACACAATTCTGCCAATGTCAAGTGAATAAATTTATTTCTACATGTAAAATGAAAATGAAACGAATGAAAGATGGCGATCCCACAACAACTTATACTTTGACTTGATAGTTGACAATTTATGCCAAATGACAATATTGCCATATGAAAATCGAGATTTTGTCTTTTCTTTTTTACCATTTGATTTTGGTACACCTATAATAATAAAGCTGAATAGTTTGTTTGGTTGAACTTTATAATCTCAAAAACTACTGAAACGAATTGAACAATCATTTTGTGTGGCATATCATTGGAATGGAGCAGCAATGAAAAATGTTGAGAAACGGGAAAATATTTTACTTTTTGAAAGCTTTCCTTGCGTGCGCTGCAAGTTACGCAAAAATCAGGTAGGTATCATGAAATTAATCCGCCTTAAAAGTTAAAAAAATACTTGCGTCTATCTTATATCTTATCCCGAAAAAAAGGACATAAAGGGATGAAAATGGGAGTGGAAGTTCGTATAGGGAATTAGAACGTTGGCGTTGAACGTTAGTCATTATATTAAGGGTTAAAGTATGAAATTGCCGTTTTATTGTAATAGGTTCCTTGAATTGACATAGAATCTTCATGGTTTGAGGTTTTCGAAAAACCTTTTTTCACATGATTTATATGATGTTCTTCTTTTAAAAAATGTGAAACATTTGAATATCGACTTTCAATTGTTTTTGTTATTCAACTTCGACAAGAAAGATGGATACTGCGAGAATTCGAGTTATTTTTAAATACGAGTTCCGACGCGGAAGTAACGCGGCAGAAACAGCTCGCAATATTAATATTGCATTTGGAGAGGGGTCTGCTAATGAACGCACCGTGCGATTTGCAGAAAGAAATACGCGTTGAAACTTGTGTTGCCTTGTTGAATCAGTACAGATGTGAAGGAATATTGGATCGAATTGTGACATGTGAGGATTTTTTATGATAACCGCTAAAGAAAAATGCAATGACTGATAACCCCAGGTCAAACGCCACAATAGGTCCTAAAGCAAAACTTACCAATAAAAAGGTAATGGTTACTGTTTAGCGGTATTAGCACGGTGTAATTCACTACAGATTTCTCCGATCTGGTCAAGCAATAACGGGAGATGACGATTGTGCCCAACTCCGAACAATTTTGGCAAAACTAGCAGTAAAACAGCTCGATTCATGAATCGATCTTCACCATTATTGCTCAGTACGAGAAACCGTTTTGACACTGGAACTGCAGTTGGAAACTATTCGTCATCGTCATCCTTGTGTCGTATTCGTCAGACTTTGCTCTAACGGACTACCATTTCTTTTCGTGATTTGGACAATTATCTACGTGACAAGAAGTTTTCTTCCCAGGAGGCATTTCTATTGCTTTCACACAGTTTGTGCAGTCTAGATCCTCAGGGTTCTATCGCAAAGGCATAAATGACCTTCCTATTAGATGGCAGCAATGTATACATAATAATGGTAACTATTTTGATTAAATAAATTTGTAAAAAATAAAAAAAATAACTATTTTGATTTTCAGTTCAAATTGGCAATTTTATACTTTAACCCCTATTATCTTAAATTGTCCTACCCGACAGGGTCACATATGTTCGTAAGCAATTATTTTATTGTAAAAGCTATTTTACACATATATTTGACAATAAATGTTTGAGTATCGATTATTGTATTGTTTGCAAGGAGTGTTAATTCTACTGCACACTAAAATGGAAAGAAGAGCACCTTATAACTAGACCTTACAACTTTCTTTTATGAAGAAAGACATGGGCATTATCCAGTCAGTAGATAGTTTTTATTTGGCTCCAACTATTGGGCAGGCCTATTCTCCAGCAGTGAGGATGCTGACAAGCTTTTTTATATTAGATCTAGTATATCAAAGCAGGCCAGTGTGCACACAGTACCCTTGGAACATGTGGACGAAGCCACAAGTTACAGCTAGTATCAAAATAAAGCTAAATATTATAAGGTGTAAAATTTTGTAACAAATATTAGATAAGAATTAGATATTTAAAGATAATACCAAAGTAGGTTAATATAGATCAGCTAAAGTACATGATAACCATTGGATAAAAATAACTGTAACATAAAATGTTATCACAAATCCTGAAGTATTTAAATCAATATATAATTAAGTCACCCACAGAGACTTTAAAACAAACTCTAACCTTAAGTGCTCACCTACACTAGAAGAAAAAGCTTGGTCCATTACTTCAAGTTTTTAATACTGATACTGTATTGTAACAACACTTAATTTGCAAATAAACTTTTAGAAATATTTTTTTCTAGTATTTAACATTTACATAACAACAGCGATAGTTTGTTAATTGTTAACAAATTAATTCATTAACATTTTCTTAAGTTATGATTTGACAATACACAGTTTTTTATTAATTATCAAAAAGGACTCTTCATCCCTTAATCTACTTCTACAGTGTAATTATGATGTTTGACGTGTTTGGAATCGTGTGCATAACATAAGTCCTAAAATTATCCCCACAATAAATGCACACCTGAATTGCTCACAAAACAAAAATATTTGTCAATTCTAAGATTTAAAACAAAATAGCTTTAAAAATACTTTAATTACAAACAAAATATTTCTCTACTAATTCAAACAATAATTTAATTTTATTTACCATATTGATATTGAAACTTTACAAAAGAATTTGATACATACCTTTTTGTATATTTCAAAACTTGTGAACTGTGTAGCAGCATAAGGAAATATTCTGACCATCTGAGCACCATTCCCCTTATACAAAGCAAGGAGGGACTCTTTTTGAACTATTGCTGTCAGGCCACCAAGCACTCCATGGTGTTTATAGTGTGATGACTGCGCTTGTAGCAGAATTTTTATACGGTCCAGAGGAGCAACTGTTGTCTTCGAACACATACCAGCAATTCCTTAAAATATGTATAAGTTTTTATTTAAATAATATATATGTACATAAAAAACTATAAATTATAGATATGATTTATCTATAAATAACAATTTATCATAAAAGTAACATAATCTATTAGGAAGCAGAAATTATGTAATTGAATAGTAACTTACCTCCAGCCAACAAACTTTTGAGTATGAAATGAAGATCATTTTTTTCTTCAACTTTTAATGCCATTTTCACTCACTAGTTAGTTTATATTATTTTTATAAACTACTGTAACTTCACATTACAAAATTAATGTACTTTAGACAGTTTCTTTGAATTATTTTCGTAAGTTATATAGGTCATTCACACTTATGGAGACATTTCTTGATAAATTTGCAAGCGACATTTATGGTAACTTTCACCTGTGTAGTGGAAATGGACACGACTGCCTACTTCTTTAACTCTCGACCGGATAGCGTATGTCATAGATAATACTTAAGGCATACGCGTTTGTGTAGCTTTGAATAAATATTATCAACAAAGGCGTATAGTAACGTCAATGTACTGTACTCATTTTACCGTTTTGTCCGCACAAATGAAATACACAGAAAATAAATAGCAGTGGAATGAATTATTATAAATTACTAACGATGCATTGATACTGGCATTACATTACGTTAGACTATTTATTATATAGTATACTAATACTTGCATTTTTTAATAAATTTACAGTAAAATATTATTTACTAAAATCTGAAAAAAAAACAATGTAAATTGTGACAGCTGTCAATGTCATCAATAGCCGTCCACACTGGTTGCCAACCTGAGCTCTGACCAAGTGACCTTTGTTGGGGGTCGATGCGTGTCAGCCATCCATATTGGTTGTCAATCAATCGTTCCGATAAAAGTGACCTTGGTTGTAAGTTTTAACTTGAAACTTGTTTTCTAATCGAAAAAATGAAAATGTTTTTACATATCTTATTAATTTTACAATTTATGCAGTTATGAAGGCTTTTAATATGATTTATTTAATAAAATGCAACTGTGACTACGTACAAGGCGAAGTCTCATTTGAAAGTATTTTATTTCCAAAATTTTCCTCATAAGAACTTTATAACTTAAATTAATATTGAAAATAGAGAAGCTTATTAAAACAGAATTTAATAGAAATATATATTATCAGTGACACTACAGACCAAAACGTGATCGTTACTTATGTTTCAAAATTAAATAATGTTTATAAATGAATCTTAAGTTCTTAATCCAATAATTTTATTATTAGAAATTCTTAAGTGATAATTTTGGGTTTAATCATAACATACAGAAAGTAATTAATAAAATATCGAAAAATCAATACTTATCAAAAATATTTAGATTTTGGATTCCTAGAAACATGAATTATTAAATTATACATAAGGCGTCGAAGGACAAATCGGAGTTGGTTTGCAACAACATATGGTTGCCAACCATCAAAGTCAGCATGGTCGAAGCTCAGGCTTGAAAAAGCGCGGGAAACCTTCAAATTGGCGGGTTGTGTTTTTTGGATTTTTAATTTTTATATATTTAAACTTGATTCAAATAGCGTTCAGTTGGCTTTTTTTTAGTTATATATCATATTAATAGTGTATTTAGTTATTATCTATATACGAGCTGCCCTGGTAAGTCATTTGATTTATCCTCTAACATGAACGACCCCCCGGACATGGATCCGGGGGGATTTATCCCTCCGGCTGGCACCTACATTACAATTTCCAATAATGAATCAGGAGTAGACACCGACGGCTCTCTTACAAATGTTTCTCGAAAACGCGGTCGCTTACAAATCTGTAAACATTGTAATAAGAAAAGACGTAGGCATCACTCTTCAGAAGCACGCTTATTGGATTGCAATTGTCATCATGACTCTTCTAATGTTCAACCATCACCAATAGAATATAAAACCGATTATACAGATAAAAATACTGCTCCTACAGTTATTAAAAATAAACCCTCAGATACAATTGCAAATCAATCTCCAGAATCTCTTTTGTCACATCCCACACAAGTTGGTAGGCAATTATATGATAAGAATGATGCAGCTCCTTTTGTAGTGCATGTGCAAAGACTTCAATCAACCCCAAATGACGGGACCAGTATGCATCCAATGACCTTTGGCAAATTCTTGAAAAGAAACCCTTTTAACAACATTATTGATGGTAGTGTAAAAAAGATTGGTCGCAATAAGATGGCAGTCTCATTTTCCAAATACAGTGATGCCAATTATTTTATTAAACATAGCAGTCTGAGCTCCGATAACTTAAAAGCTTTTATACCGACATTTAATATTACAAGAATGGGTTTGGTAAGGGGTGTTCCCACGGAATGGTCTTTGGAAGAAGTTAAGTCTAATATTTCAGTTCCCATAGGTTGCGGAGAAATTTTAAAAGTTAGAAGATTAAACTACAAAGTATTTGTAGATGGATCTCCTACATGGAAACCATCTCAAACTGTTGTACTAACGTTCGACGGTCAAATTCTTCCAAAACGAATTTTTATATGTTATAATTCAATAAGTGTAGATTTATATATATACCCAACCATTCAATGTTATAACTGCTGCCGTTTTGGACATACAAAAATGCAGTGTAGATCAAAACCGCGATGTATTAAATGTGGACAAGAACACACTGGTGAGTCTTGTTCAGTATCAGAGGATGTTGCTTATTGTTGTTTATGTTCAGGACACCATTTTGCAAATAATAAATCTTGCCCCGAGTTCATAAGACAATCACAAATTAAATTGTATATGGCCCAAAATTGTGTCTCATACAGTGAAGCATCTAAATTGCACCCTCCAGTAAGTAAATCTTTTGCTGACATTGTATCCAATCCGTCTCATAATAAAAAGGAAACATCTTACAATAATATGACTCCTAGTGTACCCTCAACAATATCATATAGGAAAAACATCCCTGTAAAATCTCGACCCCACCCCATCCTCATTAAAGGGTATGACAAAGTTGCTCACCAATCCCTCATCAGGGAATTTGATATCCCATCTCCCAATAATGGATGTGCATTAAATAATAACAACAATAATAACAGTGCTTTATCAGAAACACAACTCCCTAAAGATTTTGTCTTTGCTCTTATAAATTTACTCTCACAGTTTAATTTAGTACTACCGTCCAACGCTGCCCCTTTAAATACTTTTGTAACACCCAATAATGGACAATTTAACCAGTTACTTAATACAGTGGAACTGCCTTAGTGCAGTCAGCAAAAAAAGTGAATTAATATATTTAATTAATAAATATGATCCATGTGTATTTGCACTTTCTGAAACATGGCTTAAACCTCATTTTAATTTTAAAATAAATGGCTATAAATGTGTAAGGGAAGACAGACTTACCACTGATGGTGGTGGTGTAGCTCTATTAATTAAAAATAACATTAATTTCCAACCCATACCTTTACCACAACATAATGTGAATAATTTATCAATGATTGCTGTAAAAGTAGAAAATATATGTATAGTTTCTTTATATATACCATATCCTTCATTATCTATTCTTGATGAAATAAATCAATTGTTTTCATTCCTCCCCAAACCATTTTTAGTTTTGGGAGATTTTAATGTACATCATCAGTCATGGGGTAGTTCAGTATCTAAATACCTAGGCGAACAACTACTAGACATTATAAACTCAAATAATCTGTGTATCTTGAATGATGGATCGCCAACGCGTCGCACAAACCCTGAGCAAAATGTTAGTGCAGTAGACCTTTCAATATGTTCACCTAGATTAGCATCACTTTTGTCTTGGAATGTTCTCCCATACACATATGGCAGTGATCATTACCCAATATTAATATCTCTTCCTTTTTGTAAACCTAAACATCCTTTACGTTCATCTACAAGGAAATACAGGCTCCCAGAAAAAAACTCTGAAGATTGGAATAAATTCAAAAGCTGTGTAGACACTAAATTAGCCTATCTTCCTGTAGTAAAATCTGGAAATGAAGATGACTGTGCTAATGCTTTGTCGCATATATTGAGTGAAGCTGCTGCAGAAGTGTTCCCAATGAAAAAACGTAGTTCTACTAAGATACCTTCCCCCCCATGGTGGGACAGTGACTGTTATATAGCTATTAAGAAGAGAAAGGAAGCAGAAAAAAAATATCGTTATAATATGACAACCTGTAATTATGATACTCTATGTAAAATTATATTGGAAACTAAGAAATTATTTAAACGGAAGAAATTTGAAAGCTGGCGTAATTTCTGTAGTTCTATTTCTCCTAATACACACCCTACTGTAGTTTGGCAAAATATCAAAAGGTTTAGATCCGCTTTTATTCCCAGCTCCACCTCTGTTACCCCAGCTGAAGCTGACGATTTTTTAAAAAAACTTGCTCCACCATGGGTTCCTCTTTCTATCAAGAATGATCACATTTCTTCACATAACCTCTCTGGCTTGAATTGTCTTTTTTCACTACCTGAACTTAAAGCCGCAGTTCTTAATACTAAAGATTCCGCTCCAGGGGGCGATGGCATACCTTACTCTTTCTTTTCTAATCTTAGTGAGAACATATTAAACTATTATTTGAAACTTATCAATACAACAATGTTATCAGGCAATATCCCCTTATCTTGGAGGTCACAAGTAGTGTTGCCCATTCCTAAACCCAATAAATCTTTAATTGATCCTCCTTCATACCGACCCATAGTGTTGTCATCTGTATTGATTAAATTAGCTGAAATACTCATTAAGAATCGCCTAGAATGGTTTGTGGAAAGTCAAAACCTGTTGTCAAAAACCCAATATGGTTTTAGGAAAGGAAAGAGCACTATTGATAGTTTGAGTATATTCACAACAGATATACGACTTGCGTTTTCGTTCAACAAATCGGTGGTAGCAGCATTTTTGGATATAAAATCGGCATACGATAATGTTTTATTATCTGTTTTGAAATGTAAATTAGAGTCTTTACACGTTCCACCTATTTTATGTTTTTTTATTTTAAACATTTTAAAAGAACGCTATCTTACAATTTGTGTGTCTTCTGACATAGAGATACAAAGAACAGTATGGCGAGGTTTACCGCAGGGTTCCGTTCTTAGCCCATTATTGTACAACATTTACACTTATGACATTGACTATGTATTTGAAAACAATATTAAACTTCTTCAATACGCCGATGATCTATTAATTTATTCCACAAACCATTCTATTGAAATAGCTTCAGAAAATATCTCTACTGCCCTAAGTTCGTTGAAACAGTGGATGGATACTAATGGATTAGAAGTATCAGCTACGAAAAGTTCAATAGTGGTTTTTTCACGAAAAAGAATTCTCCCTCCTCTCAATATTTCTTATAATGAAGTAAATATTCCGGTTGAACCTGAGAAAAAATTTTTAGGGGTATTTTTAGACACAAAACTCACTGGTGTGGCGCATTGCAATTATATTGTTGGCAGAACTGAACGTCTTTTAAACATTCTTCGATGCCTCTCCGGAGTTTGGTGGGGCGCTCATTCCCAGTCTCTTAAATTAATTTATAACGCCTTGATACGCAGTCTATTAGATTATGGCACATTTCTATTAGAACCTGGCAATACTCGTGCTCTTAAAAAACTGGATAACATCCAATCCAAGGCCCTTAGAATAATAATTGGCGCTATGAAATCTAGCCCTATAAATGCGTTACAAATTGAGGCTTGTGACCCCCCACTGAGTTTAAGACGTCAATACCTATCTGATAGATTTATATTCAGTGCTATACAATTCTCTAACCATCCTCTGTTCCAGCTGCTTGAGTCCTTGAATATAGAAATCGAAACTAATAATTATTGGATCCATAAATCACGTCCTTGCTTGATAATAAGTTATCAAAAATATTTAAATCTTTTAGCTCCTACCCATCGATCCAATTGTCTCCCCATATTTAGCATAAATTTTGATGCTTTACAACTTTCCCCTTTAATTCGATATGATTTAATTGTTAAAGATGATAACAACGCGAACATTACATTTAAATCTGTTATTGAGGCAAATTATAATGACTATAATCACGTGTTTAGTGATGCTTCCAAATCCACCTTTACAGAATGTACCGGTATTGGAGTCTATCATTCTCAGTACAATATTTCACAAAAAATTAAGCTTCCTCCAGAGTCATCCGTCTTTACAGGAGAATGTTTGGGTCTATTAAAAGCTGTAGAATACGTGATTCTAATGAAACTCAAGAAAACAATAATTTTCACTGATTCCATGAGCTCTCTTCAAGCTTTATCTAAATTTCCATTCTGTAATCGCTCTTACTTACCTGTCATATTTGAAATAAGGAGCTGCTTATTAAAATGTTGTTCATTAGGTTACTTGGTGGAGTTTGCATGGTTACCGAGCCATAGTGGAATTACTGGAAACGAAATATCTGATCATCTAGCTAAAGATGCAGTAAATTGTGGTGATATGTTTCCTTATAAAAATTATAGCCAAGATCTGCTATCTTTGCCCATGCGCTACTTACAGACCAAATGGAATACTGATTGGACCACTAGTAGTAAATTCAAAGGAAAACACTATTTTCTAATTCAACCTGATATCTTACATAAACCTTGGTTTCGAAAAGCGAAGTATGGAAGGACTGCTACAAGTACTCTTTCACGTATGCGTCTTGGACATGTTTGTTCTCCAGCACATTTAGCCAAACTTGGAATCATTAATGATGCTGCCTGCGAGTGTGGGATGGATACTGGAGATTTAAACCATATCTTTTTTGCTTGTATACGTTACGATCGCACGGTCTTCCTTAATGACCTATTGTCTCTCCGTGTTCCTTTCCCGACATCAATCGTTTCCTTACTATCCACTAATAACCTATCCATTTATAATTGCATAGTATCATATATAATTTTAAATAATATTAAACTCTAACCTATTCTATATATGTATTATAAAATTGTGTAAATATATCTTCCTTCTCCTAATTCCTAAGCCTCCTGAACCTATCCCATAAAAAATCCGTTCCAACTTCTATTTCCTTTCGTTTCCGTTTCCCAAACTTTGACAATGGCTAAGCACAAACAGTGCAAGCCAAATAAAAAAAAATAAAAAAAAAAAAAAAAAAAAAAAAAAGCTCAGGCTTCTGACCTCGTCGACAGCTTTTCACTTTGACAGCTATTCTTGTTTGTAATTAAAGCACTGGAATCGAGCTCATACTACATCCAAACTGGTATTTTTTTTTGTTAAAATTCATGGAGTCAAAAGATGCTGAAAAACAGAAATAGGAAAATCGTATGCGTGTCGCTTTGTCTCGCATAATAGCACCATATCTTCATGAATGAACCTTACTTACCACAGATAAACATAAACTATACAGATGCCTCATTTCATACAACAAATTGTGATGTGACCATCTTGACTCGGGCTATTTTGTCACCTTACAGTGATATTTAAAAAAATAATAATGCCTGTATGAAATTTTACGCTAGTAAGGTAAAATCGCAAACAGGAACGCTTTTTTCAAATTTGATGGGTTGTTTTTCAAAAATGTAATCCGTACAATTTTTAAAATTTAAAGTATTATTTTGAAATATAATGAAAATTTGGGTTAATTATGGTTTTTACAACAGTAGGGTTTGACTAGGCTATCAAGTTTTTACTCAATCTAATAAATTATATAAAGTAATAGCGCATAAAATTATAATTTTATTATATCGTTATAATAAAATTAGTAAGCTTCGAGGTGATGCAGTTGACCGCGGACCACCGGTTAAGAACGACTGATTTAAATGAACTTAAAATACGGCCGATTATGCCACTAAAAAGCACATATTTAAATTTTCTCAATGGAATCAAAATTGATTCAGTTTCTTATTATATAATCTCAGCTCAGGGGATTTTGGCAAGTTACCAAAATTGCTTAATGCTTTATAATACACGTTTAAGGAAAGATCTAAAATAAAATAACTTGTATTTAAATAAAAAAAAATATAGTCTTATATAGAGTTAAAATTTTAAATTGAAGTTACTAGTTTAATTTACGTATGAAAGCGCTTGATATTTCAAAATAAATTTTTATTTATTTTTTATAACGAAAAATAAAAAATAATAGATTTTTAAATTCCATATTCGTGTGGTAACTTTTGCGCGTTTTTTTCGGATAGTATCTACCCCTACAGGAATTTACATTTGTTAATAAGGAATACAGTTACAAATCAGACAGATATGTTTTTTTTATATAAATAAATATTAGACAAAACGTCAGGTACTCATAAAGACCCCAAAGCACTTGTACTCTGAAAATCTGTAATAAAAAAAGGCACCTACCACAATATCTACCTATAAGCTGATATAAAAAAGCCAATTTTCTAAATGTACTCAATAGCAAATCGAACTAGGGCCCTCAAAGGTAACCTTAAAACCGGCGTATGAGCCACTTGGCCATAGCGTCATAAGAACATGTACGTTTTGTTAATTTTAATATAAATTAATTTATTGGCATGAAGAATCCATGACTATTCTGAATTTTCAATAATTAGCTTGATAATTAACCTTGTTTTTGTATTTGTATTGCCTAAACTTATTATCCTATTGCGCAAGTTTCCGGGAAAAGGTTGCCAGTTGCCGGTTTCATCGATCTCTCCTTTTGAAGGTCACCTTGAAAAAGCGCGAAAGCTCAAATAGGTTGAACGAAGGAAGCTATAATGCTGCGTCCGTCGTTCAGACGTGTGGTTATACACGTTTGAAAACGAAATAATTTGTTCTCCAGCCCATACACGCGTGATTTAATGTATTTTTAAAGTTTGTGCACTCGTGTTATAGTAGTAGACGTGGACAGACTACTGTCGTACGATAGCCGATTTTACGTACGCTCTTAAACTTTTGGTGGTAAAATTAAATTTTAAATGAACGATACAGTGATTTCTAAATAAAAGTTTGTGGTTTTTAATAAAATGGATGTGCCGGCTAGAGGAAATGTTCTGGGCCGTAAGTATTAATTGAATAGCTTGATATTCTAAAACATTGTTAGACGATGCCGCCGCGCCGGTAAACATAAATTTTTACGCGAGTTAAAAATATCTTATTCAATATTCTATATTTAGAACAAATTGTGATATTAATTTATTACTTCTAAAGCAATTAAGCCACATCGATATTTTGTAAAGAGAGATTCGTATTATAGATTCATAAAATTACCGGGAAGTTTGGAAAGGATATCTGAAAAGTTATTTTAATAATTTATAAAACTCGTGTTTTATCAAACTGGGTACTTTTGATCTGGAGTCATTACAAATTTCACGTCAATTAATTACTTGTCCAATTTAAAATATGACATAAAATATATGTTAAATAATTTTATATTTAACATACTCGTAATATAGTCTAATATCATGCGTATCAGAGAATTAGCGGCTCGGAATAATTAAATAGCAGATGTTTCATGAGAATGTCCTTGTAAAGGTCATTGACATCCTTAACTAGTTTTCAGCCGATTATAGACTTTTACCATTTGCTTTGCTGATGTGATAACAGTTATCGCTCTAACGATAGGCAGTTTGATTGCAGAATTGTTCAAATATCCGATTAACATACGAAACATCTTTTAAGTGTGCTACCTATTGATATCACGATGTGATCGTACAATTTTATGAGATAGATAGGTAGTTGCAAGCCGATGTGGATATTTTAATACAAGTTTTTATTTAACTTACCTATGGTGTTAGTTAGTGTAGGTCATATCTTGCAGCTAAAGACGAGCCTCCCACTTTTCGATTGAGCTTAAAATTTGCATACTTATACCTATGTAAACAAAATTTTAGCTTAAAATTTGCATACTTATACCTATGTAAACAAAATTTTAGATCTGCTGATGGGGTCAGTAGACTTACCCATGAACGTGACTTATGTAATTAAACGAAGCAAACCCATAGAATTTGGGTCTTGTCTCGAGAAAGTATAATATTGAGTCTGATGATGGATGTGGAAGATAACAATACTGCCATACAAACCAAAAATCAAATCAAATTTGTTTATTCAGTTTAGGCTTTTACAGAGCACTTGTGAAAGTCGAAAACTACGCCATCGGTTCGCAAAACTACGGCGGGAGACCTTGTACTGAGAAGAACCGGCAAGAAACTCAGCAAGGGTTGTTTTTTCTCCCTGTTTTATTTCACACAGAGAAGTCTTATTGAAAACCGAAAATACCAAGAAATACCGAGTATAAACCGCAGTAAAGTTTAAATGTTATGTATCTTTGACAAATCACTTTTTATGACCAAATTTTGAATACAAAGTGTATGAAAAGTTAGAAGACTAATATAATTCACAAATTACAGGTAGAAAACATGAAAAATAAATTAAATATAGCAATTTTTGAACCCTTGTTACTGCATCTAGTTCTTTGCTAAATCGATTTCTAACTATTTAAAATGCAGTAAAGTGAGCTGTTGCTACATATTAAACAGTTTTGGTATTATATTAACTGACTAAATTCTGTGGCAATTTTTGCGTTTTTGCAAAATTGCCAACTTCATAAAAAATCAAAAATGCAAATGCTGTTACAGCGGTTTACGCTCGGGAGGGCAGAATAGGAAGTTTAGATAGTTTTTAATTATTTTGTTCCAATGTTAATCTATCAATTTATATTTATGACAGAAACTATTTTGTGAGTGGTCTTCTAATAATGTTGATATACCTTAATAAATTATGTACTTGGCCATAGCTTGGGTTAAACCGGGAAAGATTTCTTTTACAAAATACTAATTACCTACACTTTTAGGTAGCCTACATAAGAATTAAGTCGGGACTCGGGGCAATTTGAAACAAATGGGGTGAATGCCACATAATTACACTTATACCTGGGCATGTCCTATCAAATGCGACTAAAATATGTTTCTCCGCACATTTCGCAATGATTTCTCATCACCACAGTAAACTTAGTACTCGTAGAACCTGGTTGCTGCTAGTTACATCAGTTTTTCGTCTAGCTAGGTATATTAGCGAATATTATGTAATACTTTATCCGTGATTTCATTCAGTGTACTAAAGATATTTGGAAGAAGTAATTCTGTAGGGCATTCTACACGTAACTACACTTACATAGATTTCTTTAACACCGCATTTAATTTTCAATACCTATTGTATTAAGCATTGAGTGCGTTTGTGATTCAATCCGATGTCAAGAGTATCGATGTAAGACGTGGTGGGCCCTGGTTGCTAGGTACGGTCTCAAACATCTTTCATATGTCATCATAACCGGATCAGCGATATGGCTGTGGAAGCATTGCAGACAGACAATATTTCCGCATTTATCTAATGTATGGGCAGGTAATATTAATATTCTTCTAATAGGTGCCAAAATACCTATACATTTATTACTGTCATTGTACTTGTCATTATAAGCACGTACGACAATAGCCTTATTAGTATTGAATTTGCAAAAGATTTTATAAAATTTAGTCAGAAATAGTGACAGATCGAACGGTTTGATCAGTTTGGTGTGCATCGGGGGCGTAAAACCAAAAGACTCATTGAGATATACACTATTTACGGAGGTAGTAGGCGCGCATAGCGCCTTCTCCTCCTTCCCCCCCTACGGCGGCGAGGTCCCCCGCGTTTTTTTCATGTTATTATTTATATAAATAATAACATGAAAAAAAAATGCGAAATTTAGTGGCATCTGTGATTTTTTTTCTATTGAGGAAATTTAACTATGAATTCTAATGTCCTTTTCATTTTGCTTATATGTATGTTATTTCTTTGCACAAAATTAGTTGAAGCATAAAGAAAATATATTAGATATATATTTTATAGGTGCCCACTTAAGTTGCGGTGGATTTAGAAGTGGTCATTAACAAAACCACACAACATCAGTATCCGTTACTTGTAAATACCCACCATATGGTTAAGCAAAAATTGGAACGATTACTTATATGTATGTGATCAATTTTGAATTCACGATGCTATGTTAAAAAATATTTTATATGAAGATTTTTATGTGGAAGGTCAGGATTCGAGTCCCAGGATTTTTAAAGCATGATTTTATTAAGAATACTAGTGTGTGCAAAATTTATCAAATATAATAATTACAACACATTTTCATCTTTATTGAAAGTTTAAAATACTCGTAAAAATATATTTCTTTCGGCTGTTTGGGAGGATTGCCTGAACATCGATGAAAGTAAGCTCTGTAGTAGTGAAAAAGTAACAAGTGCTTGAAAAATTCGTCAGTCCTGTTAGGTCCTGGGTAGTTCAGTGGTTAAAGCAGTCGCCCGGAATACGAAAGGTCATGAGTTCGAGTGTCAGGGACAAATTGGATTTTTTAAATATTTATTCAAAATATTGGAATATAAATATGATATATAAAATATTGTTACGTAAGTATATTCAGAGAATACTAATTTGTACCGAGGTGACTTGGTATTACCAAGTCCTACAAGGAAAATGTGTATAGCTAGGCAAATATGCTATTTATATTTATTGAATGAAATAACAATACATAGCTTTCTTCTATGAAATTCACGTTAACTATTTTGTATAACAATCTGAAATTATTTGTATAAAAAGCGAAAGGTTACTCTCTTATTCACCACGAAATCTCAGAAACTATAAGTGCTAGGTCAACGAGAAACTATAAGTGTAGGTACTTTCAAATTTTGCATGCGGGTTTCTTTTTAGGACGTAGGTGCTCACTAAGACGGGATTTTACGAAATTTGGTCCCTTAAGGGGCAAATTAGGTAATGAAAGTTTTTATGGAATTTTCTCATTTCTGGTTTTAAAATTCAATAACGCGGCGAAGCCGCTGGCGGAAGGCTAGTACGACATTATCAAAAAGTAGGTAAAGAAGTATCTATAACGTAGTTTAAAAACACAACCAAAACCACTATTATGGAAAAATGCTTTGCATACCAACATACCCTTTGAAATTGGGTAGTGCGACAGCCTTTTTGACCTGGAAAAAAGTATGAATTTCATAGCCAATTCAATGCCGAATTCTATCTGCAAGATTTAATTTCAATCAGTTTTAATGTTAATACTTAAAACCTCAGACAACTGTTCTTTACAGTTTAATTAAAGTATCAAATCTTATTCTCCAGGGGTGGTCCCAGCCCGTTACATTCTGGCGGTGTTGGGTTCCATCGCGATGGCCATCATATACGGGCTCAAGGTAAACCTATCAGTGGCCATGGTTGGTATGATGAACCACACCGGCATCAGGCTGGCTGCGAGCTACCACGAGTTGAACACCTCCAAGTTGAAACATGTTGAAGAGGTGGTTTGTGAGCCTACCACTAGCGAAGGAAATAAGACAGTGAGTATTGCATAGGCTAACTCGTCTCGACCAACCTTCTCTGTATTTTAAAAGTCGTCGTAAAAACAATTGTTCCCACTACTGGAGCTATTGATTCAATGGTATCGATTCAAATCAAATGTGGGTAATGGGCCATGACAAACCACACGTAGTGCGGACTAACGACTGCAGATACTGCCGGGACCGACGCCTTAAAGTGCCTTACGAAGCACGGAGGAGCTCATGATAATATATTTTTGGTTACCCATCCTATGACCGGCCACTAGGAATGTTGCTTAACATCCGTATCGCAGACCACGGCGCCATCGAGCTCCTTATTAAATGTATTTCATTATAATAAACAAATAATATGTTGTACCTATAGGCGAATATATGAGTATTTTGCTAGTTTTTGTTTATATTTTTTTTGTAATTTGCAAGTCTGATTATAGAGTGTAAGCCGATATGAAGAATCTGTAGTAGGTAACTGATTAAGGTATCATATGTCCAATTTCAATATATTTTTACTATCGCAATATAAATTATGCTTTTATTGAACTTGTGTAAAAATGACGGTAGAAAGTACCTTCTGTAGGTACCCAAACGCAATTGGGTCAATCCAATTATGAGTAGGTATTCAACCGAAACAATTATCTTTCTTTTTCATTTGGGTAATGAATTAAGAGGAAATTGATCATATCAATTTCCTAAAATTTTTAACAAGTTATTTCAGACTGATTTCAAACGATGCCAAGACGAAACAATTAAAAAATGAACGCAGCTGTATCAAAGTCTTTACTATAGAACTAAAAATAGAACGTGTTTCCGATTCGGTGGTAGATCTGTCAGCATCATCACCCATTTTCTTCTAGGTAGTTCTTAGGAATCGATTCTGTTAGAAAAACGACATAATCTAGCAAGCATTCTATTTAAAAAGTTTCCTTACCAAAGTTCTTGCCAATTTTAAAATAAATGAGGTCTACATAAGCCGAATTATCATGGTAAAATAGAGATTATACATCCATCAGAATGAAATGCGCTCACACATGTAGGTACGCGCTGAATCATAAGAATTTTAATGTCACCAGTCATTAGAATAGAATAGTATAGAAAAGTGTTTTTTTAGCACCAAATTAAAAGTAATCCTATTAGTATGCTAATAAATTATTTAAAATTAGGTATTAAAAAGGTCTCCGCTCATCAATATGCCTTAAGTAAGTGGATAAACAAAGTAAATCACCACATACAATTATCATGACGTAATTAACTAAAAAGCATTACAGTATTCAAATTAAAATAATTAAATAAGATTGAAAAATGTGTGAAGATACAAACTAATAATTTTAATAAAATCATAGTAACAATTAAATATTAATGATTATAACGCTAATAATAATAATTCGCAAACACAGCATCAATATTAGATGTAACTATCAATAACGTAAACAGCTATAGAAATTTTTGTATGCTCATTAAATTGCTCTTAAATTTGGACTTAAAAGTTACAATACGTTTAGTATTACTAATAGGGGAAGGAATATTGTTCCAGAAATTATTTGCAGATAGTTAAAATTGCCACGGGAAGCAGCAATCAGCAACGGCAATAAGCAAAAGAAAATGTTTCTTCCACCTCCAATACCTAAATTGATAGCACCACCTTAGGCGGATAAATTTTTCTATTTTAATAGGTATTAGAGGATCATATTATAATTGAATTCAAAGAGTATTTTACCAACTTGACTACATGTCACAGCAATAGATTTAATAATAGTGGGCGATGATTTTGTGGAATTGGACTCAATACCAGTCAATTAATTGTAGTCAGTAAAAAAACGCGCGACGATTGTCCCATATTATCACATATTGGGATGGTGTGATTCATTTAGTAGATATTAGTGCTACCCAGCAATTGACGGCAAAATTTGTAGGTATACTGAAGAATCAGTTTCATAATATATATTCTTTAGTTCTATTTAAAAACTACGCTGGCTAGAGGTTGTATGAAATTATTAATTTTAAACCAATTTTATTCTAAGGCTATGTTTATATTTGCCAAAAAAATAATTTTATAAAAATAAACATATGCTTGCTAAAAACACAAACATAAATTTCAATAATAGGGATGCCGACTATTTTTTTTTGTTTGTCCGTCAGGTAGAGTGATGAAAAATATTAAACACATATTTTTTATTTTTTTCGTAATCATAAAATTACGGCGTTACATGGAGTTGAAATTTTGCATGACGTGACGTTATGGTACGTTTTCTACTATACTGTGACGTAGCGAGCCCCCACTCCTCAACTTTAATGCCTGTTATCAAAGCTATTTCTTGTTCAATTCAAGTAAAACAAATACGTATCTAATATTTTTCTATTATCTAACTGACGGATTAAAAATAATTGCATTTTTTTACCCAGTCGTCATCCCTATTGGCCCGATAGAAAAAAAATCGCAAAGATTAAAGTCATCTTTGCGATTTTTTTATTTTTATTTTATTTTTTTTTTATTAGGTTTTTTCGACCGATTTTACGACAAAATTATATACATCTTACTAATATAAAAAAAAGGTTTTCATGTATTCTTTGATCACATTTTTTTTTTATAATTGCGATTGTTTTTTGTCTATGATTAAAAATTTATGAAATCGCGCGTCTTTACTCGTGGTGCGCATTTGTATGGAAACTTAAGCCGAGGTAGACAGCCTTATAAATCCGACATAGGTAATTATGTCGAATTTTTATCTTAACTTAAAGGCGAGGTCCAGTTGCAAATATCAACATTCTGGTAACGATAATGGAGAGTTTGTAATCAGTAAAGCTATTTCCAGATTGAGTTCATGGATAATCATAAAGCGAAGAACGTACGGTAGGTATGGACGTTTGTTGTGGTACTGGAAAGCGACCAAAATAATTTTTGTTTTTATTTAAACATCGCTCGAGTGGTTTATAACTCTCTTAATCTTCTTTAAACGTTGCATACCTATCTTCTTAGTTTTGTAGGTTCAATAACCTTTAGTTTTATTGCTTACGTTATAATTATCATCAGCTCTTTTACGTCCCTCACTTCAGGGGCTCAAGCCTACCATATGGATGGTTAAAGAGGATGGGCTGTGCATTCTGACTGTGAATTCTGCGCATATAACGTTAGCAAGAGTAGCTCGGTCGCGTAATGGGTAAGCTCCGCGGCCTGCGATCTTTATCGTTAAGCAACTTTGACAAAGGTCCAAAAAAAGGATGATTAAAAAAATATTTGTCTCGAGCTACTCCGCGCTTCGGAAGGCACTCTAAGCCGCTGGTCTCGGCTGTATTTTCAGTCCCTAGATAGTTAATATCCCTAGTTTTCAATCCACATTGGCCAGCATTAAGCTTTCGTGGTCGATATATCCCGAATTATCTGGAACTCAACAAAAATAAGATACATGGTAGCAATCCCGCGAAAAACTATCATTCTAATTAATACATACGCTTAAGAAGTAGGTATAGTATTTATTTATAAAGAAAAGTAGCCCCGGATCAAAATACGATTTCCCCTCCTTTCGGCATAGGAGAGAAATTGTTTTAAAACTCAAATAAATAATTATATTTGTGGATCCATTACTATGGCATTTTTTTCTAATGAAATAATTTTGTGAAGTTAGTTCTTTTTTCAATTATATTTTGAGTTTTGTCAATTATGTTTTATGATATTGGGCCCATCCTGGAACCGCCGTTCGGGTCGGGTTCTCGTTTTCCATCCTTTTAGATGCGAAGTTAAAAAAATAAAGCAACCACAGAAGAAATCGCGCATAGACGGCTGAATATAATTGTACTAAATGTTGTTATTAGTTGCACTTTCTATCAGAGTAACACGGCAGTTACACCAAATTTTTTATTTTTTAAGTGTCTTTTGGATGAAACTGGTTTAATAAATGTAGGAGTAACCGTTACAGTTAATTTGTGTTTTATAATTGCCAGCCTCAAATAGAAATGGCCTTGGATCAATTCATAAAACTGGATACCAACTTGGGACGACTCCAATCGCAGCAGCAAAAAATGCTACCGTTTACAAAATAATTTTTGAAATAAGAATATGAACACTAAATAGTTATATTTTGAGTAGGTGTTTTATTCATCTTCAATTTAAATCGGTGATATGTGTGAATGTGACCTTCTATAATAAAGTCTAATGAAAACAATCGACCAGCAAGCAATTCGTTCGTCCGCCATGTTGAAATTCATCATCAGCATATTGATTTGGAATTCGTGCGTTCATTTACTGTCATGATTTTATATGAAGATGATATAGGAGTGGCACGATTGTGTATCATGATATGAATTATTGAAATTTAAATATCGACTTTATTTGTATAAATATCTATGTTAATACTTAAGTTAGTAAGGCGTGAAATATTAGACATGTTTGCCTCGCGTGCCTGTCTCTTCAGTACTTATTGCTCAAATTGCTACTGTTTAAGAATTAAACGAGAGTTATAGTTAGGTACTTACATACGTTTCATAAGGATACTATTCCTTTGTTGCAGGTGCATGAGTTAGATGGTCCTTTTATTTGGCCATCGGAGGTTCAAGGCATCGTCCTGAGTTGTTACTTTTGGGGTTATTTTGTCTCTCAAATCCCTGGTCAGTACCAAATGGATTTATAGATAAGTCTCGTGTGTAATATTTTAAATAAATTGAATACACAAAATACATTTGTAAAATCATCGAAGTTTGAATTGTACGACACTTTCACTTCGTTTGAATTAATTAGCGATTAGTATTCGTGTCTCGTTTATCACTCGAACTAATCTGCTAGGTGCCAGAGTGGCGGAGCTGTTTTCGGCGAAATGGGTGATGTTCTTCAGCGTGTCCATCAACGTGGTGTGTACCCTGCTCACACCAGTGATGGCACAAGCTCATTATGCCGCAGTCATCGTCATGAGGATCGGAGAGGGAATTGGTGGAGTAAGTTTCAATTTTAAATTTCATTATAATGATTAGTGGTCCATGGTACATGTAAGCGGTTTCTTCATGGTGAACTAAAGCATAGAACCAAATTTATAGAAACAACATAAGTAGTTTTGAATTTACAACTATGATTATAGGTCACTATGTATAAATAGTTATGTCAAGGATTCTCCAATTTTAATTTGTGATTTCGCGATGGAGGTGAGTTCCCAAAGCTTTCGTCATTAAGAAAACCAGTGCTCAAACTACTTTGTTATGGTAATTTAAATCAAACTACTTAACAAGTTCTCGTGACCGGTATCTTGTTGCGAGAGCGAAACGAAAGGAAAGATAGGATTTGAACATAACATTTTTGTATTATTTCAATCAGGGTGTGACGTTTCCTGCAATGCACGTGTTGCTATCAAAATGGGCGCCGCCCGCTGAGCGCAGCGTAATGGCGGCTCTGGTTTACGCGGGAACATCTCTGGGAACTGTTATATCTATGCTGATGGCTGGAGTCCTCACCGCCAACGTAGGTTAGTACAACAGAATCAACTTAGACGGCGTTTCTATAAGTCTTCAATAATTAGTTTAAAGCGCTATGTTATGAAAGTCTTGCCATCACTCCTTTGACTTTCGAACTAGGTTATCAGACCAAGTCTTAATGATGAAAATGACATTAACACAGGTTGGGAGAGTGTGTTCTACGTGATGGGCGGTCTGTCGTGCTTGTGGTGCGTGCTGTGGGTGATACTGATACAAGACACGCCGCAGAAGCAGCCGCTCATCAGTCACGAGGAGCGACACATGATTGTCACCTCACTGGGCGGACATACTGACGACCATTCTGAACACAAAGTAGGTATTACTGTGTTGGGGAGTTAAACAGTTAGGTACTTAAACATAATAAACATAATAACAGTTAGGTACTTATACATAATTATATAATAAAAATATTTTCTTATTTTGTATTGTTTTAATAGACGACTTTTAATATTCGAAGTCACACTTTTCAATCATGCTTTTTGTTTAAAATCACATTTAACTTGTTGTATGTTTGTCATTTTTTTATTTTCAACATTCGTACACTGGAATTTTTAGTACTTACTCTACAGAGATATGTATAATGTTAACTAAATTATATCATACATATCTAGAGTACATAGTAGAACAAAAACAAAAGCTAATCTAATAAACATTTAGTTTTTGATCTAACGTTTACCTTATCGCTCATCAATCAGTATGTCGTCCGGTCCCAAGAGGTGCAAACAATAATTTAATGGTACATGTTCATGTTGTACACATATTGATGTTTCCAACTAAAATAATGGATGTTTGCAGTTCTTTTTTACACGTTTTACGTACTTCGCAAGCGTAGTATTATATTGGCGGACGGAAGTGAAATGACCTTCTATTATTTACATGATGATTTCCATTAATCACAGTCAAATTAAATTTGGGGGATCAGTGAATTTATGAGTCCTGAGTGGGTGGCTGTAGAAAGAAAATGGTCTATTGCCTACTTACCATATTTACACTTAAAGGTGTAACCAACCATACCTTTGTCATGCGTCTGGGGTTCTGGTACCTTGTAAGGTAAGGTACCAGAACCCTGTCATAACGCCTGTCAGTCAGTTTTCCTTATCATAACATCGAAGCAATCGCATGCGAATACGAAACAGTGATATCTTGGTATGTATGGAAATGTTTCGCATGTGCTTTGTCTCGCTCTATTATTAGTTCGATGATATAGCTGCGTCCTTATCATTACGGTTTCGCTGTCAACTGCATTCGCAGTTTCGCATTCGCAAGCGAATGCGTATGATTATTTTGGATCTGAGCAATGTATGTATGTACGAATATTATATTTATTTCTTTATACGTTTTTTAAGAAACTGCCGGTGCCGTGGGCTGCTGTTCTGAAGTCTCCTCCGTTCCTCGCCATTCTCGTGTCCCACACCTGCTCCAACTGGGGCTGGTACATGTTGCTCATCGAACTGCCCTTCTACATGAAGCAAGTGCTCAAGTTCAACATGACAGAGGTCAGCCTCGTTAGCCTTTAACTTTGGTGAATCGTTTATAACGAAATTAACTAATACGATTTTTTATTTTGGGATCATGACAACCACAAATCATTCTAAATTACAAGGTCGATACCAATTATCTACACGCTTTATGATATAGACTATAATTTAGTGATTATTATACTGTTAGACCCGGTGGAGCTGTTTTTTGCCACATCACATAATTTGTCCAATTGGGAATATAAACTATTTGGCGATCTTCACAAACAAACAAAAAAAATCAAGTGGTCCGATGAAAAATTATTATTATATATAAGGCTAGCTAATTTTGGCAACGCTCCACTGAGGCTATTACCCGGGGGAATTAATATAGTAAGTAGAGATAGTAGCACAGAACATAGAGAGAGATTAGAAGTATAATGATATTAATTTAGTATGGGAACCGAGTGTCGCCTCTCCGCACACAAATACAGATTAGATGAAATGATCATTTTGTTCACTACATGAAAAACCGCCACGCGATAGGTTCGCGATAACATAAACCAAATCCCAAAAAGATACTAAGCTAAGAAATCACAAGATTAAAAACAAACTCTAATTCAACGTGATAATAAATAATTTACTTTAACATGAATGTTGAACTGTCACGTGGCTGTATATGGGGATACCAGAAGGAAAAAAATATTTTAAGATTATGCACATTTAAAAAAATTGGGATCATCATTTTATGTGCGAACTATTAATATTAGATTTTGCTGTAACCAAGTGAATACTGAAAAATTAAGGCTTTTCCCTACATAATTTATTAAAATATCTTTTAAAAAACGCAGTACAAAAACTAAGAAAACTTAATGATACACTCTATCGTATATCTGTGGAGTAATATAATTAAGCGAGGGAAAGTGTAAAAAAAAACAAAAATTAAGAAAACAACAGAATTTTTGTATTAATTACATTAAGCCTAATTTGTATTTTTTACTGGTATCATTCCGATTGTGCATATTAGTGATGTGACATATTAGTTCATAAAATAAGAGCTATAATTTTGTTATGAAACAGTTCAATGTAATTCAGTTCGACAATTTTCTACAGTGGTTTGATAGTAATTATTTAAAGCTTTATTCAAATAAAACGAAATACATAAAGTTTGCATTACCTAATGTGAGGCATGTTAATATACTTATAAATGAAAATAGTGAAAAAGTTGAGATGGTGGAATCGACAAAGTTCCTTGGTATTTTGGTATATTGATAATTTGTCAAGTAGACTGACTTCTGCAGCATTTGCTGTTAAGAAAATTAGACTCTTAACAAATGTTGAAACGGCAAGATTGGTATATTTTAGTTATTTTCATAGTGTAATGAATGACGTATAATCTATTGTTATGGGGTTCTGCGGCTAGCATTCAAGATATTTTTATTCTACAAAAGAGAGCTGTCCACGCTATATATAATTTACGGTCTAGAGAATCTCTCAGAGAAATATTTAAAGAAATAAATATTTTGACTGTTGCCTCTCAATACATCAATGAAAATATTATGTATGCAAGAAAACATTACGATTCCTTCACAAAAAAAAGTAGAAATAAAAATAAACTTGCCATTTCAAGTGCTTGTAATAGCCTTCTTGAATAAAGATATTTTCATTTCATTTCATAATAACTAATATGAGCATTACACTAATAAATTGATCATAGCCATGTTTGTTTTACTTTATTATTCTAAGTTTTATATCTGTAATAATAGTAGTAGCTACATTATTAATTGCAACGACTGGACAATAAGGAATTGCTGGTCAAGTATGAGTTTGAAAGCCGTGACAAAAAATGTTTGAAGATAGACACAAAAGCGATAAGTACGTACAAACGTCAATCTACATATAAAGTCACATCCGTTTGAGACATGCGTCTATAAACTTATGTGCAAATATGGAGCAACAAAAAAACTGATAAAAGTTGTTCTGTGGGCGGTTCTTTAAAGTGGCTTTCTTAACTCGATTTCTATAATAATAGTTTCTGATTATGAATCAGCATAATAAGGTAAATTAAATTGACGCCTAAAAATTAATTTTGTAAATTAAATTCACACCACCAACAATATTACGTTAGTTGAAAACATAATTTTTTGTTTGTATAGATATTATGTTGTTTTGAAATTCATTTGATAGGTTTAGGTCTAAAACAGATAGGGCAAAATTAATTATGTAAACAAGGCAATCCATTGTATAGTTATTAGGGAAACTGAAATATAAGTAATGCAAAATAAGTGAAATCCAGTTTCACCAGTTTCTAACAAGACCTATTAGGCCAACTCTTAGCTTTTCATGAAGTTTCGTTTAATTTATGTATTGTTCATAAAACGGTGATATACTTCGTAACTTAGATATTTATAGCACATCAGTATTTTTTAATATTTAACTGTGTGTAAATAATTAACCGAATCTTCGTAAAAAAAGTGCCTGGACAGTTCATTATTTCATTTGTTCAGTATCAGTTCATCTATAATTTTCCCTTGTAAACAGTATTTTTTAGTTTTATATAATTATGGCATATATTTATCGATAACGTTGTTATGAAATGATGAAAGAAAAGCTCTAAATAAATATGTTTTAGTTATCGATTACGATCTATATAATTAACAATATGATTCCGAGCACCAGCAGCCTATCGGTACATTTCAGACAAATGGAGGCACAGCACTATTTTTTGCAAAAGTGCACAAAATGATTTACATTGCTGTTTAGTAATGGGGTCAGAAACATTGATGTTGGTTTGAGCAATCAATGTATATTTTATTTAACATTGTGTCAAATTATTACGTTTTTTATATTTTAGCACTAAAATTGTACTTACCAGTGAAAGGAAATGTTTGCATTAGTTAGATTGTATACTTTGCTTTGCTTTTTGCAAGTGATAATAGCACAAAACGGCATTTTTTATAGAAAAAATCTGTAAAATCACCACTCGACGATTGACGAACGACTGGCAAACATAAAACCGAGGAAAGGGCGTCATATGAGTAAAAGCGCATATGCCAGCGACGCGTGCCCCGCCCACTTACTACTTCTATTCTCTCTCTATGTTCTGTGGATAGTAGCACTTCAAGTAATCCAAAATATAAAATTTCTACATTATTAATTTAAGCAATTCAACAGTTTTGTATAACGACATGTCAGGGTGAGTGTACACGAAAATCCTTATGAAAGAAAATATGAATATTTAAAAAAAAGAAGGAACATACGGAAATTGGAGGATTTCAGGCATATCCATAATATGATGTAACAAAAATAATGTTTGTTATTGCGTTGATTTAATTACTTATAGAATGCAGTGACTACATCTTTGCCATTCTTGTCGCTGTGGATATTCAGCATGGTTCTCAGCAGAACCTTGGACTACTTACGAGGGAGGGGTGTAATTACTACTACCACTGCTAGGAAGATAGGAACTCTGTTCGGTAAGTGTACGGTCCGAATTCGAAGCTAATCATTATTGTTAAACTTTATACGCGGCGATTTTTTTTGTCATTTTTGTCTTCTGTTATTGGAGACGTGTGATTGGTAAGGTGATTAGCCCGGCGACGGTTTTCCAATCGATGTTGATTGAATGTTATTTATATGTTCTTGCTATCGAACACTTTCGCAGTAGTATAATAAGATTACAATTGGATCATCGGGGCTTCTGTAACGGATGGTAGTTTTAGGGCAGATGATAAAATATGGTTGAAAAGAAGGAACTCACTTCACAATTTTTTGTCCTTCTTCTATTAAAAAGAGGTACGATTTTACTGTTTGTTAGTTTGCTATAAATATAGGCTCCGAAGCTGCTGTGTTATGGCCACTGGCTCCCTTTTGGAATTTCAATGCGTGTTATCTTACATATAGTTAAAATATTACTTGACTGTACACGGTTTTTTAAATGTTGAATCACGACGAAGCTTATACTGTTGAGGTAGCATAGTGGCGGTGGTGTAGTGGATAAGCGTCGAGGCCAGCGACCGTTATTAAGCAACTTTAGCAAGGATCGATAACGAGATTGGTGAGAAAGAAAATATTATCTCAAGCTACTTCGTGCTTTAGAAGGCACTTTAAGCCGGTCCCTGCTGAATATGCAGTCGTTAATACCCCCCAATCCGATCTACCAAAGTTCACGTCTTCTTAACTTTTGGCCATAATGGCCATAATCGCGTTATCTGTTGTTATTTTTTATATTTATTTATTTATTGGACAACCAACACATTTACTAAAATTGTCACAGTAGTTATTTGCATGTTCATAAATATCACTTGATAAAGAAGGTCACTTGAACTTTATAAGAAACTTAAAATTAAAAAATCGGGACACACAAATTACTTAGCCAGCGTGTTTCAAACATAACAACAGCATAGTCCTACGATATTTTGTCTCTGATTCGAATCCAATTCACTGATGCTGTCGCCAGGACCAAGGATAACTTTATCCAGTACACTGTTATGTCCGTTTGTTCGTTTAGCATCCGTGGTACCGGCGATATGCTTGTTGGCTTTGTGCTACGTGGGCTGTAACCGCGGCGCGGCGGTCGCGCTCATGGCTATCGGCGTCACGTGTATCGGCGGCATGTTCTGCGGATTCCTCTCCAACCACATCGACATCGCGCCAAACTTCGCCGGTAAATATATCCTATGCTTATTTTTTATAGGTTTTATGCAGTATAACAGAAAAGAGATTGTAATCAGTGGAGTTAATATTGTGTTATTTTTGTTTACCTAAATTTTATATATCAAAATTTGTCGTTAAGCAACTTTCGCAAGGGTCGGTCACGGGATGGGTGACCAAAATATTATCATCTCGAGCTACTCCGTGCTTCGGAAGGCACGTTAAGCCGCTGGTCCCGGCTGCATTTGCAGTCGTTAATACCCTCCAATCCGCATTGGGCCAGCGTGGAGGGTCATGGCCCATATGCCTTAACCATCCATAAGGAAGGCCTGAGCCCCTGCAGTGGGGACGTAAAAGGGCTGATGAAGTTGCTACTTTTGATTACCTTACTGAACTGCGACGTTAACGATTGATAATAATACTTAGTATTTTTCTTTAATAATACTTAATCCTAGTAATGTGCACTGATAAACAACATACCACATCTGCCAAGTTTTATATGCTAAGGTTTTGTGTAGTATTTTATCTGTGCTTTAAAGTTATGTCCAAGTCAATTAGTTCAGTTTCAACGAAACAAACAGTAAACCGCGGTATTATGGATAAAATAGCCGTCTGATTGTATGGCTATTGTACGGCTTAATAACAGTACGACTGGACGAAGCTTTGCCATCTGTTATCAGAGCGGTTAGCTACCGCTCTGATTTGACGAAAAAAAGGAATTACGTCATAATAACATTAGTGACAAGGTATGAATATTTAGTTTTTCGTTATAGGTACTTTGATGGCGATGACTAACACCGTAGCCACAATTCCAGGCATCGTAGTACCCATATTTGTTGGTGTGCTAACGCATGGCAACGTAAGTATTTTTAATATTATTTATTGGAAGAGCTAAATTTTATATAAGTAGCATTTGGATGACTCATGTACAAACACGCGCAAAACGCTTTCACAATTAAGCTTAACGACGTCAAACCAACCATTTAACAAAATTATGGTTTTGTATAAGCTTATCACTAATAGGTGATAGTATCAAAACACATAAAAGTAATTTAAAACAAATATGAAGAAATATATCGACTATTGAATGGCAAATGAAAAAATATCTCAACGACATTTATTGACTATATTTAGTTACAGCAAACAAAGATTATACCATGCCATATTATTGCATTAAAAGGCACATTTAACCATTGGTCCAAGATTACAGTTGTTAACACTCTACAATACGCACTAGGTCCGCATGGTACGTTTTGTTTTGTTCTCTTCATAAGTTCTATATATTAACGGAAATATCTGTATTAAGATCCCCACTGCAGAAGGAATATTAATATGCTGATAAAAATAATAAATTACAGTTAAGACAAAGAAGGGTAAAACAAAACACTTCATTTTCAACAGGAAACCATTTCCGCATGGCGTGTGATATTCTTCGTGACAATCGCACTGTACGTCATTGAGATATTGGCTTATACGATATTCGGTTCGGGTGAGGAGCAGCCATGGAATCGTGTGCCAGACAACACCGAAATAATTGAGACCAAGCCTCTCAACAAAGAAGAAAAGGCGGCAGAATAAAATACTCAATTGGTATCTTTAATTTACCTCCGGCAAAATTGTTGCTATAAATTGGATCACAATGATGTTCAGTAAACTCGGAGTAAAAGAATAGAAATAGAATTGGTTGTTCATTTGTAATAAAATATTGGAAGTTAGCAATGAATATCAACACATGTTTTGGTACGAATATTTCGTCGATATTTCTAGCGACAACTGAGTAAATACGGTCGAAAAAAATATTCTACAAAAAATTGTCAGATTTTATGGTCACATGTGTTGTGTGTTTGTTTAAGAACGTTGTCCGCAATAGATAGAGCTACTTTTGCGACTTGAATAATTCGTCTTAGGATATGATTGCTAAACTGGTCCCGGGGTTCACATAAAAATGATCATATTTCTAAAAAAAAGTTTTAATAATTTTCTTCGAGTATTGTGTAATTTTATAACTTCAGATCTCGGAGGCATATCCATATTAACATATATTACATAAGTTAGAAATCGAAGGAAATAGCTTTACTGTTGAGATCAGCTGGAATAAGCTACTCAAATATAATTGAGACCACAACAATAAGAATTACAAAGAAATATCAGAGCTTTGCTGATAAATTAGAACGATCCAATTCAGCTTTTAAATACGAAATAATATTTTCTAAAACGTGCTCTTCTTTTACAGCACGACTGTATCCTTAATTTCAATTTTCAACAATGAGTTACTACGTTGTTCTATTAACCTGTCTTCGCTATAACCTGTTTTCTTTAAGTAGTGTAGTATTGTTGTGATGGTTGCAGTTCATTTAGAAACTGTTAGATTATAAATGATGTTGAGCAAATTATAGGCATACATTTTTGAAAAAAAAAATAACATCGCCTAGTAAATTATTCGTTCAACAAATTTGGCTTGGGATACAATGTCCTTAGTATTTATATATTTCATTACTATAGATTATATGCTGTACAATACTTAAGTACTTTACCTGCATAAGTAGAAATCAATGCTATTATGAAAATTCTTCTCATAATAGCAATATCAAGAATTACTGCAATTATTAATACTATGTTTAGATTAATATGGATAGGGTGACGAAAAGACAAAATTAACTTAAACTACCTATAAGTACAGATATGTCTCTTTCACTCCTTTAGGATTGAAAATGCAGGGTATCATTATAGGTCGGCGCTTACAGAATCTACTTAAATTTTGACCTTATGGAAAGTATTTAAGGTGGTATTATATTATTAGGGTTTCTCCATAGATGTCTCTTGCCTTTTTCTTAGTAGTACTTAAATATCTTGGCGACAATTTGTTTATAAAATTATTAACTTTGGATTCTAAATAATATTATTTGTCACCTTTACATAATTTAAAATTGTACTTACTACAAATAGTTCTATATTTTGAAACGTTAAGATATTTTCCTTAATTTCAATTAAACGTATTGATTATCTCATATAATTTGGTTGGTATATATAATTTCGAAACATTAAAACATCTTAAGGTAATCACCTTAGTAATATTATTGTATGTGTACGTAGATTTATATAACTTTTGTATTAAGATTTCAGATTTCAAACTTCAATATATTTTTTGATAACTGCCATAAATAATAATGTGTCGTATTTACGGGTTGCAACAGTAATATATGCATATTTTTATAACGCTAATCCGTTGACAAAAGCTTGCGGGATAATATATAACTACTATCGAAAGATTACGATTTTATATTTTTAATGATGAAAGAGGAAGCAACATTGCTTAATTTTTAAATATAATTATTATATATTCATAACGTGTAAAGTAGAAAAAATAGCTTAATTAAGATTGGTATACAATTTTGATGTTATGATGGTTTGCAGCTGTGATTTGTATTTGGCAATGCATTTATACATAAACACAGTATTGGAAATATAGCTAAATTGCCCTGCGATTTTATAAAATTCCGAACCCGAATTCACTCCAAAAGCGGCATCCACTCAACATTGAATTTTAATAACGCTTCGTGGCATGCGTAAAGTGAGTTTCGAAATAACATAAGAATAGAATATCTGAGACACGTATGGTTCAATTAATCTTGTTTTGTATTTTTATACAAAAATTCGGACACATGAGTAATTTCGAATTTGGGTTCGGATTTTTACAGAATCGTTCTACTGGAAATCTGTATTATAATTGATATATTAGCGCAAGCGTCTTATTTAAGTGATTAAATGTTCTATTGGCCATTAAATGGTATTAAATAATATATGTTTTTAAGCGAGTGGTTGATATTAGATGAAGGGGGCGTACATGAAACGGGTAAAAGACTGTCCCTGTCTTGCGACCGGCAGTTACTGTTCAGAACGAAACACTTTTTTTTTATAAATTCCTCGCAAACTCTTATGATCATTGTTAAATTGCTTCTTAATGCCTTCGGCTACAAAGTGGCTCGTACAATTATCAAATGGCTACTTGACAGTTCCAACAATGGATTATGAAATAGAATATTAGAAATGGAAACTTATATGTAAACAATAAAAATATAATGTATTTTTTGTTTTAAAAAATATTGTAAGTATATTTTTTTGTTTTTTTACAAAATTAACTTGCGATTTATAATCTGTACTTACAAGTTACAACAACCGAAACGCGGTTGGCCATTACAGAAGATCTTGTGACGTCACATTTCAATATACTTAACGCCAAGTTCCCTGTTGCGAGAGCAAACAGCACACTCATGTTTATTGAAATGTGATGACAAATGGTTAATTTGTGATTTTTTTACATAAAATTATATATATTCACGTTTAGCAGAACCCTTAAAATGTGATGTAATTTTCTCGTTTTTAATTACAGGTTATTTATTCGTTATATCTTTAAAACCGGTTTAAACTAAATGATTGTTAGTGTACGCGACCTCAGACTCTCTTGTGTGGTAATAAATGTCAAATTATATATTTCTTTAGAAACTGAAAATTTATAGAAACTATATATTTTCAGTTTCTTACGTAGTAATGTTGTGAATTCTATGTTTTATGATATTTAGCATAATTAAAATGCGTCTGATGTGGCATATTGATATAATATGCTGGCTTTGAGTGTTTTAAAAGTTTATGTCAAGTTAAAATTATCAATATATTGTTGTAATAAAGGTTATGCAAAATTTGTAAGATATTATTATTCTTAATGAAAAATACTTAAAAATCTACTTGCCCCGGGTTCTCTGAGATGAGATACAAAATTGATCAAATATAATAGATATTATTATGTTGTATTACTAACAGTATTTACTGTATGCGCGTTTTAATGTTAATAAGAGTTTATTTCAAACAGAAAATCAGGAAATTATGTTAGTCCTATTTTTTATTATGTAGGTATAGTGTTTGATTATATTTTAAGAATGTATACCAAAGACATTATTCTGTACTTATTTTCTATGGACGTACTTATTCAAATACAGTATGTGTTAATATAATATGTGTTTTATTTTACCTTTGTATTATATAGAGTTATTTCCAATGTTTGTAAAATGAAATACATGAATATATTATAAAATTTATTACATATTTAAATTAGCTATTGTTGTTACTTAGTAATATTATCACAAATAGTTACAATTTTTATCTATACATATATGTTTAACTCATATTTTTGACTAATCAATACTTAATATTATTTTATATTTAAGTAAACTTAGTATTTGCATATGTACTGATGTGGCATAAACAATATGTAATAATTTTCATTAACAATTGGTTTAACAATAAATTTCAAAGATTATGAGATAACATGTGAAAAGAATACCAACATTCTGCACGTAATGCAAGGTAGATAGTATATTCTAAATAATAATCTACTTTATATTAAAGTATCTACTTGAGTCTGACTAATCGCGATACGTACGATGGTCCGAAGTTAGCCGCTATAGAGGGCGTCACCAGCTGTCCATACTGCGGCGCCGTATTACCTCTCGCTAGCTCTACTGTACTGCTCAAACTTGCCATACACGCCGATAAATCCCTGGAATCAAGGACTTTATATAAATTTTGCATTCAAAATTATTATATGTTACGGTTATTAGGCTCTTGGATATTTTTTCAAAAGTGCCTCAGTCTATGCATTATATAATGAAATGTATATTTTTGCACAGTTAAGTCCCTGTCATCATATGTGCATGACAACTACAAATGAAATATGCTTTATTGTACCCTAATACAGGACAAAACCAATCGATATATCACTTAAACTACACAATTGGTGGCGTTATTACTAAAGAGTAATTTATTCCAGGCACCCTATGTGTAGAAGAGAAAAATATATCTAAATTTGGGTATCTTATGCTGTCTCAACAAACTTTAGTACAATATAATATATATTTATCTAGTAAATGAATTAAATATATCAAATAAATAAACAACACTACAGCAAACACTCTGTTAACAAAATAATAAATACTACATAAACAATAAATTATATACCTACATTAATATAATAGGGATGACGACTAATTTTTGTTTGTTTGTCCGTCAGGTAGTGTTAAAAAATATTAAACACGTATTTTTTTCTTTTTTTGTAATCATAAAATTACGGCGTTACATGGAGTTGAAATTTCGCATGACGTCACGTTATGGTACGTTTTCTACTAAACTGTGACGTAGCGAGCCCCCAATCCTCAACTTTAATGCCTGTTATCTAAGCTATTTCTTGTTAAATTGAAGTAAAAAAAAATACGTATCTAATATTTTTCTATTATTTGACTGACGGACTAATTACAATTGCATTTTTTTTACCCAGTCGTCATCCCTATTATATTTAAATGCTTATAAACTTTTCGATGATAGTTAAGATTAAATGGGATTCAGATAGAGTGACATCATCATGATGGGTTAGCACCGAAAATGTAACAATTGTTCGCAGACCAAGCTTCGTAATTAAGCCGGGTATATTCAAGGGTGGATCCAGGGGTGTGGTCGTGGACGTCATACCCACACTGGGTCGGGTCCAGGACCTAAGGTGGACTACTAATTAAAATTGTTATACATTTTTCATTAAGAATATTTTCCAGTATAGCATTGTGAATGCAAAATTGATCAAATATAATAATTTAATTAATATAATACTCTGTATTTATTATTATTAAAATTAACTTCTTATGACGTGACCCCCCTCTTGGCGCAAAAAAGGATGGATCCCATCCTAGGGTATATCACATTCAAGATTGGAGCTCACCTAACGCTGGCCAACACCCCGTGGTCTTCGAAGGCGCGTTTGAGTGCGACGTGCACCACGCCGTCATTCTGTATGGGGCTCAGGGAACAAGTAGAGTACACCACCGCCCCACCCACACGCACTAAACGTAACGCGTTCCTGTCAAACATATGTCACTCTCACTCTCACTATAAGACCTAAGATTCAATACGAGTGAACCTATTTGGTTTCGATAGAAAATTAATATTCGAGACGAATGAACCTATTCAGTACCGTTGGAAAAATTAAAATCGAGACAAGTGTACCTATTTGTTTCCGTTGAAGAAATTTGTTAAAAGTTTTAAGAAAAATATAAACAAATTGCAAGGATAGTGTGCAAAGGCAAGTTTTATAACTGTTAGACAAGGTGCGTTCAGATATTAATTTTCAACTGTGATTAATGTATCACCTATTAATAAATTAAATAAGCGCGGTCAAGTGGTTTCCCGCGAATTCACGTATGATGTAGCTACCTGTAGGTCAAGGGGTTTTGAAGCCTATACAATACAAACAACAAATCAAATCACTCCTCTTTTTAATATTAGTATAGATGAACTGAGGAATTACGATGTAATAACTATGTTCGTCATTTCGACGACCAAATCAATAATTGTAAAGATCAAAGTAACATTGCAAAAAAATATATTAATAGAGATCATCACGAACTTCACATAAATGAGCAATACATACGTCCTATTCATTAGTCAAAAGTTAATAGTAATTAATAATTCATCATCAGCCCTTTTACTTTCCCACTGCAGGGGCTCAGGCCTTCCTTATGGATGGCTAAGAAGGATGGGCCATGACCCTCCACGCTGGTCCAATGCGGATTGGAGGGTATTAACGACTGCAAATGCAGCCGGGACCAACGGCTTAATGTGCCTTCCGAAGCACGGAATAGCTCGAGATAATAATTTTTTGGTCACCAATCCTGTGACCGACCAAAGCGTAGGTTGTTTAACAACAACGATCGCGGGCCGCAGCGCTTATCCACTACACCGCCGAGCTACTCTTATCCAGTACGCCACCGAGCTACTTTGATTAATGATTGTTCTATTAAAATTTACATACACCAATAACTGTGATTGAAGCTCGGGCAGTCGCAGCCTTTCTTTGATACGATCCGGCCTGAAAATGTTATTCTCGTTTTCGTTCATGGAGATACGATCTGTAGTACAAGGAACGTCCACTAAAACCTTTAACAAAAAATACTAAGTGATAGAGGAGCCACCGGATAATGACCTATTCTTTTGTTATTCATTTTGCAGAAGAGCGCCAACCAAATATGATGAAAAATGAGAACCCCTAAAATAAAAACTTTATATGTTACTTTACATAAAAGAGTTCTCTAGACGACCAAGCGGCATTATATGCGTGAACATAAATTATATAATATCAATTGTATAAAGATACACAAAAGAGAATCAGAAAAAAATAGTTGATATTTAAAAATAATATAATTATGAAATAAAAGAGATGAAAGTCTAAGCAGATTTTGCTAAGTGTTTTAAAAGGGCTGTTACATGACATGTAGATCGGCTGATGATCATGCACGTTACTCATTGCCTTTACGATGGAAAAATATAGGGATTGAATAATCAACTGCCAACGCGTAGATTGCATGTAGTGATCCCGAAATCAATTTCCGGTCAATTTAATACAGAAAATGGACTGTTGTCACGGATCTGGGTGTTGTGGTACATTCGTTGTCTCATATCCAATCCATAATACGGGGGCTTTAGCTACTCATAATGGAATCTAGCAATGTATGTGATGTTGTTTAATATTTATGTATCAAACGACACTGTCATGCTTGAATGACAGGACGTTTTATTATAAACTATTAATAGTTTGGCAAAAAATGGGCAGTAGTGGGCAAAAATTGACCATCTCCTTCAGATACTACTGGGCTTAAAATTTATAAATTTACGAAACAAAATTCCATTTATACCTTGTCAAATCCATGGTCATCTGTGAACTCTCTTCCATCTCTCCTCGTGAATAGCACTCGCTCTTGCCACTTGTTACTTGTTTTAAAGTCTGTTAGGTAATCATTGAAAGTCCTCATTGTCCTGTTAAATATATAATATACATAATCTTTCTACAGTCTTTGTTTAAGAATAAATGTAAAACAATGACAAAATTTAGTAGTTTCACATTAGTTTTCTATACTAATAATAAAAAGAAGAAATATTTTATTGTGTTTATTTGCTAACTAATCAACCAATTTTAATTCTTTTACCTAGGAGAAGCTATATCATATGCGTATGATGTAGCATGGCATTGTGGATATAATTTTTAAAATTCATCTATTACTCAATTTTCAATTCATACAATCAAATCTATTCTATTTATAATATTAGTATACATGACATTCAATAGAAAATCGTTTACTATCCCATACTATCAAGAGACGCTTGACGATCTTCCATTAAATTTGCACTGACCCTAAAATAATAACTACACGTGTGTGTGGCACCTGTTTGAGCGTGATATAGAAGGGTCGTTGCAGATGACGATATCTGGCAAGAGAGTCTGCAGAGCGATCAGGGCTTTGCCCCCGGGCGCCGAGCAAAGATCCAGCACGCGGTCTCCGGGTGATAAGCACAAAGCCAAAACAGCCAGCACACTGCCACAGTCTAGCGGGTAGTAGTTCATAACACCTTATGGAAGAGATTTATACAATAGTAAATTTAAAAACAATAAAATGGTATATAACTATTTAAATGAGTTAAAAGTATTTACAATTTTTTTAATTTAGTAATGATGTTTATGATCCTATTTCACTAAAACTAGGCTCTATTCTTGCATTGGAAGAACCTGTGGTCTGTGTGTGCACTGGTGGTCCCGAAAATTTTTCACTGTAATCTTGAATAAAGGTGTTTCGTGGTGTGTTTTCGTGAAGAAAGTGTTTTACAAGTCACAAATTCTTAGTATAAATATTATCTACGAAAAGAAACAAAGATAAAACGTAAAAAACTTGCAAATTCATTCTATGGAAATCACGAATTTTCACAACTACCCTCATTGAATTGTTTTTTCAAGTTGTCAACGGGTTGAGCATAGACAGTGGAGTTGCCATAGGGAGACGTTTTGCACAGTTTTGGTAAATTATTGAAGAGTTGGAAAATGAGTCCGAAAAAGAATGTAAAATGTTCAAAGTGTGATAAACAACCCAATGATAAGAAAACATCTGTAACATGTGACTCCTGCAAAAGGTTGATATGTGGTGATTGTCATGGTTTATCTCCTACAGAAGTGAGAGTCTTTGAATTGAAAACAGTTGTGCGTATTGTGACCTATTTGTGTGGCGACTGTAGGACAACTATGCTGCAACTACCAAGCATTATGAAAAGACTGGAACAACTTGATAAAGAAGTGCAGAACTTACACATGCGCCAAAATATGTTAGCTACTGAATCAGCAATCCATGAAATAACTGAACGTAACAACAGAGCGAGCAATATAATTATGTACGACGTTCCCGAGTCATCCTCTGATCTGCCGCTCCAAAGGCAAGAGCATGATAAAGAGGAATGTAAGAAGATAATTTTTGGATTGAGTAAAAAAGTGAATTGTGATAACATCAAGGTATTTCGACTAGGCGCTCCAAACTCTCGCATTGGAACTTCGCCTCGTCCGGTAAAGGTGATAATGAAAAATAAAGGGGAAGTAATAGAGGTGCTACGTAATAAAACTAAACTGGCTAAACCTTCATCAATCAAACCTGACCAAACCGCAATGCAACGTGAATATCTAAAATATCTTCGTGACGAGCTGGAAAAACGTAAAAATAGTGGCGAGATGGATCTGACTATTAAGTATGTTCAGGGTCAGCCTAAAATAGTTAGTCATAGGGATCCAAAAAACTAGTTCTCAATGGCCCGTGCTTACCCGTTAATATAAAAATAAAAACGTTACTTGTCGAAATAAAAATACTATACACCAATATACAATCAATTATATCAAAACTGGACCTGTTCTTTGCAAGAGTAAATTTGCACAAACCAGCTGTCATTATACTCACAGAAACGTGGCTAAAGCCAAGTATACCAAATTCATTAATTAAAATACCCGGATATGACATATACAGAGACGACCGCATCGATAGAAGAAGTGGTGGTGTTGCTATATATATTTCTAACCAGGCTCCTTACATAACTGCAAGTAAAAATAGTCGTTTCAATACCAAGTATCCAAATACGGAATGTGTATGGGTGGACGTTGACGTACAGACACACAGAATATTGATATGTGGGTTATATCGTGGTCATGAAACCACACTGGAACAGGACAGCACTTTTCTTCGGGACTTAAGCCTGGCCTCTGAAAATGGCGCCGTGCTGATTATGGGTGACTTTAATTTTGCTGGAGTCAAGTGGCCACTCCAAGACTGTGGATATCTGCTGCCGAAGGAGTTGAGTTTTCTGGAATGGTATAGGGAAAGCAATATGTACCAATTGGTGGACAAGCCAACTAGATTTCGAGATGGAAACCAACCCTCTTTCCTTGACTTAATACTTACAAATGATGAGTGTCTCGTGGCTACTATAGATTATGAAGCGGCTATTGGTAAAAGTGATCATTTATGTCTGATTTCCAGGGTTCAGCTGCAGATACAGAAACCTAATATTAAGCAACAAAAACTCTGGAGAAATTATAATAAAGCAGATTACGAAAAAATATGTGACGAGATAAATACTACCCTTTTGCAATCTGTAAAGAACACTGATTGTCCAAAAAAGCAATTTGAAAATATGCAGAACATATTAATGAGAGCCATACATAATCACGTACCCCAAGTTAATATGATAACTAAAACAAACCTAAACAAACCCTGGGTTAAGAAGGAATTATTGGATATGATGCACCAAAAGAAGATTGCATGGAGGAGATATACCTTGACCGGGACAAGTGACGTGTATCGAGAATATAGAAAGATCACAAATAAACTTACAAATGTAAGTCGTAAATCAAGAGCTATGTATGAAAAAAAATTGTTAGAAGGTGGAGGCAAGAAATTCTATGCTTATATTAGGCAACAAACAACGTCAAAAGTTGGTATACCAGATACACTGCGCGGCTGGCTAGGCCAGATTGTAACCCATCCGAAGGAGATTTCTGAGATTTTTGCAGATCAGTTTTCTAGTGTTTTTGAAACTGAGCCTGATATACTCCCGACTATGGATCAGTGTCTCCGAGTCGAAGAATCGGTAGACGAAATCGTTTTCACAAATGTCAAAGTTCAAGCTGCTATAAAGGACATGAAAACAGATGCTTCTGCTGGACCTGACGAAATACCAGTGTCTGTTCTGAGAAACTGTGATCTATCGGAGGCTTTAGCGCTTATAATGCAGACCTCATATGATACTGGGGTACTGCCAGACTTATGGAAAACTGCAACAGTGATCCCAGTGTTTAAAAAAGGAAGCAAATTAGAACCCTCAAACTATAGACCAATCAGTTTGACTAGTGTCATATGCAAAGTCATGGAAAAAATAATAGTTAAACAGATTAGAAAATTTCTTGGTAAACAAAAAGTAATTAGCGATCAACAACATGGTTTTTGTCCGCATAGATCGACGGTGTCAAACCTACTATCATCCTTATCGTCGTGGGTTAATAGTCAGAACGTTCAGGAGCCTGTCGACATTTTATATCTTGATTATGAAAAGGCATTTGATAAAGTTCCTTTCGGTAGACTTTTGCAAAAACTCGAGTTAATTGGCATTCGAGGAAAACTATTAAACTGGATAGAGGGATTCTTGAGACAGCGTACATTTCGGGTAAAGATTGGCGATGTCTTTTCGAATGAGAAAGAAATACGGAGTGGAGTACCCCAGGGGTCCGTACTTGGGCCGATTTTGTACATTCTCTACACATTTGACCTACCTAAATCTCTGAACTGCTGTGTTAGCATGTTTGCAGACGATACTAAGATTTTTGCAAATCCACTCATCGACTATGATCTCCTCCAAGCGGACGTAACTCGTATAGTAAAATGGTCAAGGGAGTGGCTTGTCAAACTTAACATAGATAAATGCACTGTTCTACACATTGGTAGTCAAAATCCTCATTACACTTATGATGTTGAGGGCATAACACTGAAAGAAGCCAAAGTACAAATTGATTTGGGTGTACATATTGCTGAAAATCTTAAATGGGAACATCATATCTCTGCTATCACAAAAAAGGCCAGTAGTTTCATATACCTTATTAGGAAAGCGTTTGGTCATTTGACACCAGAGATGGTAATTAAGATTCATAAAACTTATGTTAGGCCTATTTTGGAGTATGCCTTTCAAATCTGGAGTCCTTATTTCAAAAAAGATATAGAAATGTTGGAAAAAATTCAACGCAGGTTTACCAAACTCCCTAAAACACTTAAGAATAAAACTTATGAGGAAAGGTTGAAAGCTCTAAAACTCACCACATTAAAGGAACGGAGAGAACGTGGAGACTTGATAGAGGTATATAAAATACTGCATGGACATTACGACATCAAAAATTTCGACAAGCAGTTATTTCAATATTCCCATAACACTCACTTGAGAGGACATCATCTAAAGTTGACAAAGAGGGCGTCGTCTATAAATCCACATAAGCACTTTTTTAGTAACAGAGTGGTAGAAGCTTGGAACAGATTACCGACAGATGTAGTTTCAGCACAGACTACAAACCAATTTAAAAATAGATTTGACAAATTCATGCAACAGGAAGAATGAAATATCACGCAAAAAAGATATCGGGATACAGGCCACATCAGTTGTTGCAACTGTCATAATTCAACATCTTTTTTGTAGGAAACATAGAATTTCAATCTCTATATTCTATTGATTATACCTAGTCAGTGTTATTAATAAAAAAGGTTTAGCGTTGGAGTAAATTTACGCTGACACTGCACAAAGTATTAGGGGATAAAGTGACGTTTTATTGTAATAGGTTCCTTGAAGTTACATAGAATCTTCATGGTTTAAGGTTTTCGAAAGAAATTTTTTTTCACATGATTTATATGATATTCTTCTTTTAAAAAATGTGAAACATTTGGATATCGACTTCAATTTTTTTTTGTTATTCAACATAGACAAGAATGATGGATACTGCGAAAATTCGAGTGACTTTTGAATACGAGTTCTGACGCGGAAGTAACGCGGCAGAAACAGCCCGCAATATCAATGTTGCGTTTGGAGAGGGTACTTATTAACGCATCGTGCGATTTTGGTTTAAACGCTTTCGTGATGGAAACTTCCACTTGAAGAACGAGCCATGAGAAAGACCCCCCCCCCCCTCACAGGTGAATAACGATGAATTAAGAGAGATAGTGGAAGCCGATCCTAGTCAAACTACCCAGGAATTAGGGGCATGGTTATCCACCTTATCCAAAATATTGACTCATTTGCGTCAAATGAATAAAATAAAAAACACGAAAAATGGGTGCCTCATGATTTGACTGATCTGAAGAAACGCGTGTTGAAACTTGGGTTGCCTTTTTGAATCGGTACAGAAATGAAGGAATATTGGATCGAATTGTGACATGTGATGAAAAGTGGATTCTTTATGATAACTGTAAAAAAAAATGTAATGGCTGACCCCAGGTCAAACGCCAACGACAGTGTCATAAAGCAATACTTTCCAATAAATTGACTTATGAATCGGTCTTCACCATTATTGCTCCAAGACAACACGAAACCTCAAACAGGACGAGAAACCGTTTTGACCCTTTAGGAAATGCAGTTAGAAACCAGTCATCATCCTCCGCATATGCCAGACCTTGAAGTACAAAATGCTTTCACACAGTTTGTGCAGTCTAGATCATCAGAATTCTAGGCATAAGTGATCTTCCTATTTGATGGCAGCAATGTATTAATAATAATGGTAACTATTTTGATTAAATAAATACGTTTAAAATTTACAAATTGACAATTTCATACTTTAACCCCTATTTTTAGTCAAAATTCATATTATTAAACAGAGACTTAGCAAAAGTTAACCTAGTATGAGGTTCTATGAGAGTAATATTTACTCCTAGATGATAGTAGGTTTGCTTAATCTCTGTATAATAAGAATTTCAACTAATACTAAAATTGCAATTTTAGTGAAAACTTATTCTGACCCTAAATCTTGTTTAGTAATAGCAAATTGCAAATTTATCAAAGTTTATGTATATACATATAGTAGTCCATAACACATACCTGTTTTACATCTTCTTGGTTCTGGAAACATGGTGAATTCACTTTCCATTTCATAGGTGTACACTTTCAAATGTTCAGGAAATTTAAATTCTGTTTCTTCATCTATCACCAGCGGAAAATCTTTATTAGCTATAAAAATATTTTAATAATAAATATAAAAAAAATTTCAACATTATACATATTATATTTTTGTAAACATTATGCATCATCCTTTTCAGGCACCAAATAGGTTTGTATATAACCAATTATAGAAGTTATAAATTAAAACTTATTAAATAAATGCATAATAATACCTTTATACAAGCAATTACAATTATATATGTGATCTCAGAAACGGCTCCAACAAATTTTCATAAAATTTAGTATGCTAGGTCTTACAAGGTCAAAGAATTCAATATAGCTAGCTTTTATTTAAGAAAACAACTGAAAAAAGCTTGGTCATCCAGGCACTATAATATTAATTAATAGGTTGATAATTAAATACTGCTATAGTTGACACCATTTTTTAACTATTTAATATTATATTGGAGCATATAATTTTTTTTATTTTATAAACTTTTTATGACTGTAATCTGTTTTGTGTGCCTGTATAAATAAATAAATATATAAATAAACTTACTTGACACAAATGAGTAATGTAATGATTCTGGTAGCCAATCATCCATGCCTTTGAGCTTAGTGGCTGGTATGTACTGGTAGAGAGCTTCAGCAGTAGACATACCTAAAGATGGGTCTATGATACGAGACTCATCAATTGGGGACTTTGGTGTTGATATGTTTATAGAATTATTCTGTGCTTGCCTAAAACAAATGAAAATATGTATTATATTTTAACTTGAAGTGTTTTTGATCTTATATTTTTAAAACTGCATCAAGAGATATAACATAAAATCACTTACACATCTACTTTATTTGTCAACAAATATTCTGTAGAATTTAATATTAAATTGCCATGATCCAACTTGTCAGGTAACTCTCCTGTCTGTGGGTATATGTCGGCAATATCATCTGATTGTACTTTATTTATATAGGACTGCAGTTTATCGTCAGGTTCAGCACTTGTAGCTGCTTCAGGTGTTGGATTGTATTGGGTGTTGAATTCTTGTTGAATTGACATGAGATTTTTGAGACAGTGTGCACCTGCAATATTGTTATAAATAAAAACCGATTAACAAAAAGTGTATTATCTGATATCTTAGCTTCTTATGTTATTTATAAATATAAAGAGTGTAATAATATAGAACTATAGATTTTTTAAGAAATATAATTTTGAATTTATTATAAACCAAACTTACTGTTATAACTTTTATATCATTGCATCAATGCAATTAAAAGTACAAATTATTTAGTAGTTTTTCCTAATTATATAAGGATATAAAAAGTAACAATAGTTATAAGGATTCTAAAAATATCACCACATCAGCGAAATTTTACAGTATCATATTATCACAAAATTTGAGATTTTGTGATAATATGATGCTGTAAATGCAGCAGTATAAAATGCAGCATGCAAAGATATAAAAAAGTCAATTATATGTATCCATTATCACCTCTATTTGTAAGATATTCAGCTGTTTCTTCAGTATCGCCGTAGTTGTTCACAACAGCTACATATTTAGGTCGCCGTAGCATTGCTTTTTTTATAGGTTCCCATTTTTTTCCAAATACAGATCCATAGAAATCGTCGAAATGGTTTTGTGCTTTATATTTTGCACTGGTTTTTCTTTTTAGTACAGCCTGTAAAAATGGCAAAATAATTAATTATTGCTGAAAACTTTTTCAACCGTTATTTATATGTACATACCCAGTGTGTTTTACTTTTATTCCTTCCTTGTACAATGGTATATCTAAATTGAGATGATTTCGTACTTGAAGTAGCGATTGCACGGGTAATAGCTAACATGTTTAGAAAATTTGATAGCAAATGTTTATACTTTTAAAATAATAAAAATCATTATAGTTTGTTTTGGTTGTAGGTTATGTATGTACGTCTCTGAATAAGTATCGTACGTACAGTCAATAGCTCTACAAATCTGTCAAATATCTCCTCTTGATTTTAAACTTTAATTCATCAGTAGTAGAGTTTGAAATCAATAAAAGAAATTTGACAAATTGTGATAGTAATAGTCGTAATAGAAGTTTGTTCGTTCATGGGACGGGCGAAGGAACTTGACAAATACGGGTGCAGACAATAAAAGAAAATAAATACATATTATCTTTTTCTGCTACTATTTAATATATATTTACCGATAATCACACTTTATGCTTATATTTATAATATTGCTTAAATTGATTATGAAAAACAAATATATTTTATGTTTATTGTCACGTGTCCACAAACAGCGCGTGACGGCACGTCCCTCTTACTCATATCAGAACTTAGAGAATTGAACCTTATACTTAATAGAACGATAGTTCCATTTACACTACGTTTCAGAGGACCGTGATGACGCCATGACAGAGGTGGAGTTTACGCGGGAAATTTTGAAAGTCAAATTTATTTTTTGACTTTAAACTTATTAAACGAATGATACTTTTTTAAAATATCTATTCAGTTATATTTATGTATATCTATAAAATAAAAATATTAAAAAAGTTGTCTACACCCCTATGAAGAAGTATTTATAAAAAAAAAACATTAGTTTCCGAAATTAAACTTAATACGGTACGGAACTTTTTTGATTTCTCCATAACATCCTTCCGGGTAAAACTTAATAAACAACTAAAATTCTATTTTTTCTAAAAATAGGTCATTAAATTACATGTCTTTTACAAGTTAGTCTTCCTATTTTCAGAACGAATATCTAAATGTCAAGATGACAAACACGAAAAGGAGACAGCATCTTTCCCATCTCTCACTTGCACTTGTGCCCGCGAATAGCAAATCTAAGTATTGATTTGTTTACATGTAGCACAGTACCGTGATTTTTCTAGTAATCTATACTAAATGTACCATGTAGGCCTGCAACCTTGTCAAATTGTGTTGAAGATATTATCCCCACGTAAATTACTACCTTTCGTGTAAAGCTCTTATCAGAGATTCGTGCCAGTTGAGCCGCGCCGCGAACTAACTTTCGAGGACCCTAAAAGCTTAATTACCTCTTCGTTTGTCGAGTTGTTTTATTGATTTCAAATCCTTTCGTGCCTTGTCTTTCGCGCGGGCATTTCAATCAAAAGGAGCTTACAGTAAAAAATGAGTTATGGCACGGAAGTTTATAAAAGTGACAGTGAAGCTGAAAAATTAGGTCAACGCATGAAAACGCTATTTTGTCGATAGATTTGACTCGCATGTCTTGTTTATTTATTTAATAATTCATTACATAGACTTGCCGATGGCCAGAACTACTTTAAATTGAAGTGTGTCTCAGAAAGAGCAGTAGACATGTATGGGTTGTTGAAAATTTCAGTGGTAGTGGGCAATAAGGTTGAATGGATAGTGGAAGTGTGGAGCCAGCCCCTAATGGGGCTGTGCATTTGGACACAGTAAGGGCATTGCACCAAACTGTGGTGTCACTAAGAACTGCTTTAGAAGTGTCTAAAAATGAATTAAGGGAACTAAAAGAGAAGTATGAACAACACTCACAGTGCAATGAGTTTGCTGATGTTATAGAAAAACTAACTTTAGAGAACCATATACTCAGAAAGAAGATAACTGATTCTGGTCAAGAAGATAAGGATACTGATACGCAGAGCATAAAGTTGGCAGTAACATATAGTCCTAGAACACAAACAAATGAAGATTACACCAGTGAAGTAATTATTCAAACAGCTACAACTGATGTTAATACTACAGTTGAGACTTCAGATCCTGTCTGTGTAAGTGATACTGTAGAAGGGGTGCTATTTTGCTCTTCTGATAAACTTAATAAAGCTTTTCAAGCACAACAACAATCTTCTGATTCAGAAAGTAGCACAGATTTAAAATCTCCCATTGAACCTGAAGAAGAAGAAGTTCAAAATAGTCAAGTGTCTAATTTTCATGAAGAATCTGAAGACACACAACAACCAACATATAAAACTAAACTAGAACTGCTTTCTAAATTTGATGTCCGAATTAAGGTACGAACTTTGAAAGAAGGATCTGTTCCATCTAGTACAACTTCGGACAGTGATTCTACAGCTGAAGATAAAAAATCAGAAGATAGCACAAAATATCCTAAAACTACGTTCCAATTTGAAGAAAAGAAAGAGCATTTTGAAAACGCTGAAGATCCTAAAGGTAACAAAGTTAATATTAAAGCCGCAACTATAGAAAACATAAAAATGGCTGTGCCAAATGAGGCCGAGTCCAAATCAAAAGTGGACAAGTTGGATGTACAAGTCCGGATAACATCTGAAGAAAACTTAATTGTTAAAGAACATTTTGAGAGAAGTAGAAGGAAAGATACTCTAAATTTGGATGTAGATGATTTGAGCCTTCGGTAAGTAGACTGTATTTATATATGATATTTTATTATTGTGAATTAAACATAATAATATTTAGTTTTTACAAAGTTTATATTATAGCAAGTTACAATCCATTGTTTATAAGAAAAGGCAAAAGTTTCTGACATATATATTTCCTTGGATTGAAACCTTCCTATAACAGATAGGTAGTAGTGATAGGAGTTTGAAAAGAAAGGGCTCAAAGTGAAAGAAATAATATAATAACTATAATAATTAAAATATATACAAAATAAAATACGCAGCTAACTTACATGACAGCAGACAAGAAAAGAAAAAGACCAAAGAAAAAAGGAGAATAAAATGTAAACAAAAAATATACTTCTAAAAATATCTCACCGGCCTGCTGGCCAGTTCATAACACTTCCTTTTCTATAAATGTGAAATTTCAACATAATGTCAATATCATAATCATTCTGTGAAAATGATGAATGTATAAGAGACAGTTCCAGACATATCCAGAAAGATATTTTTGGGATTTAGTTATCAGAAAAACAGATTAAGCTTCTTGAATTAGGAAAAATTATAATCTGGACCCATTGATGATTTTTTAATTTGTCATTTTTTGACAACCGTAGCTTAATGAGTTATAATTTATATCAAATTACTATGATTCCAGCTCTATGTCAGAAGGAGACAACTCTGTGTTTTCTGAAGGTGTTGTCACTCCTATGGATCCAACTGCTGGCGCTGGAGTTGATGAGAAATTAGAGCAAGAAAATGCTAGTGGTAATGAGTCAGAGGAAGTTGATGACATAGAGCTGATATTCACTACTGATGAGTCAAAGGACATGAGTAATTTGCAGGTAATAAAATATTTTCAAGACTCAATCTGTCCTAGGGTATGTTCCGATATACACTGCGAGCACTGCGCAGTGGTCTCACTGCTGAAAAATCCGTTCCGATATGGACTGCCAGTACACTGCTACAGTACCCTAGGGAAATTTATGACGTCATAAATTGCCGCCATATTTGTACTGTGAGCACTGGAGATTTCGAGGCAAGGTGCTCGCAGTGCTTTTGATCACGTGATCAGTCGAAACAGAATCAGAAAATGATAAGTTTCTAAATAAACAAAAAAAAAATACTTATGTTTATTTATAAGATGGATTTAATTGATAAATATTTTTTTTATACAATTTTCCAATTTTCTTTTGAAAAGAGGGAATCTTTATATTTATATTCACCTTGCATTAACAAATTTGAAAATGGCGCCAAAAAATAGGATTAACAGTATACTGGACTGCGTTCCGTTTTAAAAAGTCACCAGTATAACTAGCTATAAAGGAACGGGCTTCCAGTATACTAAATTGACGTCATACTGTTCAGTTTCATTTTTGACGGATCACATCATTAGGTAAGTACAGATTCATTTTTACCCTAACAGGGTGTCACATAATTGTTATCTATAACTTTGTGTAATTGTTGTAACTTTGTGACAGTGAGTTTGCAGTGGGCCACTACTTATTATATGATCAATTATTTTGCTATTTCGAATAAGTGAACAAGTAGCTGGATCCGCTATATTCGGGACAACAGTATGAACATCATCTAGTACATGTATTTGTTGTACATCAATAACAGATTCATCCTGAGCAGCATCTGTAATCATAGCACAACTTGCTCCCTTACTTCGGAATTTTTCATCCACAATCTCTTGAGTAGCTATTCCATCTGACTTGCCAGACAGAGGCTCCACTGCCGATGCATTCGTTTGTATTGCAGCATTTTAGCTTCAGCTTAACGTTTAAACATTGCTCAAATGAAACTTGTGTAATATTTATTTATTTATATCTTCATATTGGTAATCGGTATGTTGTTCTGTTTTACCATAATATAATATTTTTATTGTTAAGTAACCTTTCAATAAATGCTGAAAGTGAGGCAACTCGAAAATAAAAAATAATCCTCAAGGTTATTTTTTCGCTAACCCAGTAGGCCTTGTTCAATGAGAAAGGGAACTATAAGAGGGCGTCTGTGGGAAATGAGAAAGTATTAAAAAAAACATTAGTTCCTGAAATCAAACTAGATGTCGCTACGGTATGTTCTTGATTTCTCCATGACAACCCTTTCAGTTTTCTTTCATGTTTAAAAGTAAATTAGTGTTCAAAACTCAATTAACAACTCATATTCTATTTGTACTTTTTCGTATTTGTGTTGATATCTAAGTTTCGAACTTTTCAAATTTCAGTTTTTTAATACGTTAGTTAAAATGAACGGAAATGACTGTCTTTGTTCCATTCGTTTCCTGCAAAAATCTACTTTTGCTAGAGTCGCCATCTAGGTGGAGGCATTTTTGTAGTGCTTTCGTTTTTTTAAAATACTTCCTCATTATACAGAATCAGAAAGAAGCGCCGGGTCGCAGTGTATATCGGAACATACCCCTAATAAAATGTTGGCTATAGTAAATTGACAATGACAGAAAGGAAAATGTCAAATTAAGACGAGTTGTCTTATTTTGTATGATTAATGTTTTAAATCTGGTACTAAAGTTAGTCCTTATTATTTTACATGTGTGTGATTCTTATAGATTTATCAGCAGTCACATTATCCTATTTGTTGTTAGCCCTATTCTTAAACTAAAAGCAATGTTTACGTTTCTAAATTACTTTTAAATCTATTTACTTCTCAGGAGGATTTAGTATCGATACGGGAGTCTGATCAATGGGGTCCGTCATCCGTTTCTACGCATTCTACCCACTCCACTCCAGTGCTAATCAAATTCCACACTCTAGACCCTGACTTCCAGCCAGGTGGTGAGACCAAAGATAACGCCGAGAATGAAAATGAAGAGAACAGTAGCATTCAAGGAATTATCGCCGAATCTTGTCTAAGAACAAAAAGGGTATCACTTCCCAGTGATAAAGAAATTCGACACGTCGCTTTCAACAGTAAAGGGAGCTTGGATTTGCCTGGACGAGGTATCCTAAAGAGCTACGAGAATAAGTCTGATAATACATTGTATAAAAAAAGTCCTAATACAAGTACAAGGAGACTGGACAGTGTAGACAGTTTGACCTGCGAGTATAATAGAGGTCTAAGCTTCGATAATACAAAGTCTTCGAGCTTCGAGCTCGGCTCCAGTATGGACATCCTGCATAGAGAAGAAAGCGTGGATAGTTTTCAGAAGCCCCATCATCTTGGACACCGTTTTTCAGTGTTTGCCGAAACTGATATATCAAAATGCGGTATCTCGGAAGATGATTTGGCTATGAATTTGAATATGAGGAGGAATACCTGCCCTAATCCATTTCAATATAGGTAATGTCAATTTTATTATTACTTCGATTAACGTCTTATTGTGAAGACTTGGTGCACTGTAGTTTTTCGGAAAGGAAATCAGAGACTGAATATAAATTTGTTTGTGGAAGGATTTTCACTTTCTGCGATTTATCTGTTTTATTTGCAGGCCTACTGGGTATCGCAGTTCAGCCCGGCCCGTTGGTCCACTGAAGGCGGGGGCGGGGGGGTTGTCGAGTCGTCATATAAGACCAGTATTGCGTGAAGGAAGCGCACCGCGTAGGAGTTCCGCCGCACAGACTGATGTCTGTGCGTTACCTAATCGATGGAGTTCTGACGGATATCTGGCACATAAGGTATCGAATCGAATATAAATATTGTTATTTACATTCTTAAGTTTATTATTTCGTGAAATGTAAATATAAATATTATTATAATGACACAGCAGACAAGAAATTCTATTGATTCAAAATAAATGAATGCATCTAGCAGCCTTTAGTCCTTTCAGTTCTTTGTAGTTTTATATCATTTTTTTCCGTAGCATTAAATTTGTTTTCTGCGAAATCGATGATCAAAGAACCATTATGTGAAAATTTATTTAAGTTACATCTTACATACCGATGACATTGGAAATTGGCGCCCAACGTGGGACTTTTTGATATCGACTTTTCATTATGACAATATATGAAATCTGTTGCTTTGCGATTAAACCAAAACCAGTATAGAAAAACAAATCCGAATAGAAACTGTACAGACGAATAAATAAATTGTCATGGTCAATACAATCTCACATCACTTTCAATTTTATTAAAATATCTATTTATCTATAGCTTCACACAGTATCCCTTGAGGGGTAGGCAGAGCAAATCTATGTGCCTACGTAACCTACGCTATGTGACACGTTACATTAAATTGGCAACAGCGCCCTCTAGAGAACATAAAGTAAGAAAAAAAAAATTACATTATTCATTTCAAGCACATTTCAAATATGTATGGGTAGTTTTTGCTTGCGATTTTACTTAAATACACTTGAAAATTAATTAAATAAAGAAATAAGTTCAAAAACTAAAAGTTAAAAGTTTGAAACAAAAAATATATATTATAGCGATATTATAATAGCGATGACCTAAGGACTGCGTGGTCATATGCCACTGATCATAACAAAACAAACTGTTGTGGCATCCGACTATTTGTCTTTTGGTCATTTCAAATAATTAAAGATCACACAAGTGTTGCTGCTTTGATGTGTATCGCATTTTTAAACTTGAACCCAATTGTATTCTTAAAAATGAGGTGTGTGTATGGCTTTCAGAGATCTTAAATCTACGTAAACTAACATTGACGGTGTACTCAACATTAAATTAAATTTTAATCGATCGTCATAAACAATAAATTCTAGGACGTAGGAGGTATTAGGAAGAGTAGCTCGGTGGCATAGTGGATAAGCGGTCCTCTATCGTTGTTGTTAAGCTACTTTCGCAATGGACGGTAACGGGATGTGTGACCAAAAAATTATCTCGAGCTGTTTTGCTTCGGAAGACACATTAATTGGTATCCGATGCAATTGAAGTAGTTAATACCTTCCTATCCGGATTGGGCCAGCGTAGAGGGTCATGGCCTATCCTCCATCAAGATAAAACACTGATCACTAAGTTTATATCAAAGAAATATAATTCTTTGATGTAAGCGCAATAACAACAGAGTGCTGTCAAGAGAAATGTAAAGATAAAGTACTTTTATTTAGTAAAACACCATTATCTATAGATACTTCTTTTCTTTGGAGCAAATGGTGTGTTAAATGATGATGACGAAACAACTGTCATATTGCCATTATAACATCAAGGCCAAATCTAAGAGTGGCAAGTAGGAGCATTGACCCCGGGCGCCAGTGTCAAAGGGGCGCGAAAATCATCAAAATAAATACGGCAAAAAAATTGAAATAAAAAAAAAAATTGGTGATTTTACATAATTGAATTGTTACTAGTTTATTTACACAAGTAATTCGCGCGACAAGCTTTTATGATCATTATGTATAAAGGGATGATAATTTGGTAGTTAAAATTTAAAAGGCAAAATTTATTTTCTTTTTTTATAGCGTTTAAGTAAAAACTTTTTTTTTAATATTTTATGCTTACTAATTAATTTAATTTATTTTTTACTTTTTAATTATCGCTGGGTAGGTTCCTCAGTCTGTTCATCCCATTCAACGCATCATTTTTGCAAGATCGTTTGCTGATTAATTTCGTTATTTTTTTAAAGCATAAAAATCTTCAATAGTGCGCCATATTGGATTTAGAGTGATGTCACATTATTTTTTGTAATTATTACTAGGTTTTGCTCCGATTAAAAAAGTCGTAGGTCTGTGACTGTGTAACATCACAATAGCTCGGAAAGGATTGGCATAAAATGTCTAGTAAGTGAATATACCCATAGAGCTGATAATGTTATATATTGAATCAAATAGGATACTTTAAAATCAGTTAATTCTTTAATTGAAACTGCCGATGTATAAGTACTGGGAGCAAAATGACCGACACAGCCGAAAGTTTCAAGTTAGGATATATGCAAACGTTCATTTTATTTGACAAATATTTCAAAATAGAGGAGGTGTAAAAATGGAGTAAACATTTTAAATTTGTAAGTGTTGAGAGCCCTATAACGCGCATGCGCAATATCGATTGTGCGTAGATAACAACGGACCACGAAATAAATTAATTTAATTTAATTATTAACCGATATCTTAATGATAGTCTGATGCTAAAAATGTCCAATTCTTCTCTGAAGACAGCTAAGCACGCTCTTTTGCATGCCAGTGCATGCACGCGCAAATCACATCACATTTCACACAAAACTAAACACAATCTTCATTAAACTAAACTTAACACTCAAGACGAACACTTTAGTATCTTATTAACAAAAATTTAATTAAAAATGCACTAGAACAAAACAATAATCGACAAAAAGTCGCCTCGCAGCGGTACGGGGGCAGCGATGCAGTAATGTGCCTCACGCGCAAATGTCTGGCGGTGACTGAAACAAAGGCGCCGACGGCTACGGAACAAAAAAGCCGCGCGCACGGCGAGTAAATGGAGCGGTTGGAACGGTTCGCTTTGCCTTTGATAACCAGGGACGAATTCAGTTTATCTATTTTTCGAATTCGTATTTTGTTACCACGTCATTGTTTTTGAATTTTCTTTTTAAATACATTTTTAATAAGTAACCAAATCCTAACTTTGTGTTTCAACATAAAGTACATTTGTGATAATGGTTCATTATTATCACAAATGTACTTCATGTTAATGGATGATGTAATAGTTTAACTACTTTAATAAATGATCGTGTTATTTGATCCATTTAGTAATAATTTTTTGGAAACTACGACTATTTGAAATATTTATTTATTTATTTATTTATTTTGGTTCTCTAACAGTGAGCACAATGTTACATGACAATATAAAGAGAAATGCACAAAAGAAAATACATTCCTATTGCCCCACCACTTACAAGAGAACACTGCATGCATTAAATTGATAGTGACATAAAAAAAAAATATTATCATTATCAATAACCAATTAATATATATATAAATATATAATAAATAATGTAGTAACGTAATGTAAATTAGTTAACATTAGAATAATCTTTTTACAATGATTTATTAAATGTTAGTCTATGAATTAATTTCAGCATTTTTACTGATTCGTGTAGTGATAGTCAGTTTGAAATTGTTAAAAAACAGTTAACTAACATTCTTAGTTTTCGTTTGCGATTTTAGTTTTTTAATGATCAGTTGGTAGCAGTTTGATAAAACTAGGACTATTTGACTTGTGAAATTAAAAAAACGTAGGTTATTGAGAATAAGCAGTAGAGATTTTCTACTTTTTTTCAAATGAGAAACCGGCTGTTAGTCTGTTAATCGATTTAAACATTTTGCCTGCCTTGTTTAGTGATTGTCTGGTAGAATTTGAAAGCAGTCTTATAAATCATAAACTAGTTTATTTCGTTTTTAAAAATGAAGAAGTCAATGACCCATTAAAAACTTGTTCCTTAGTACGTCCCAAAAACAGCTGACTCAGGGTTGAAAACAATCATTTTTTTCCAAAAACTTTGTAATGTAATATCTCCGAAACTATTTGACCTAGACATATAATTTTTTTTTACATCATATTAAAGACAAATAGTACTCTCCAGGAACCTCGGGAGTGTCGGTGGTTCTGTTCCACCCAGTATATTCTTAATAAAAAATAAAACCCGGCATTTAGGAAAAAAAACCCGGAAATACCTGTGGTTTTTCACCGCCCATCTGTAGTCGTGATCTTTTTCGGTATCTTATTGTACTTTATATATTTTTAAATATGTATTGAAATTCGTTTTTGTTTTATTATAACAAAGAGTAGCTAAGTTACAATGTGAGGGTGGTGATGCAGATGTGGCCGCCGCCATCTTTACCACCTCCGTTGCCCCGGCGTGTGTCAGCGGCGGGCGCATCGTCAGTATCGTCGCGGCGGCTGACTGTGCCGCACGCGCGCCTGCCGCCCGCTGCGTCCGACGAATCACGCCCTGTGCCACTCAGCGATATCGGTTAGTGTTGCCGTATCGCGTTTCATGTATGTCAATAGGAAATATTATGCAAAGCTCGGCGTAGGTGGCGGCAAAATGTAGAGCCAAGTGGTTAAAGCAGCCGTTCAATTGGGCGGCTAGCCATTCAATTGTTACAATATTTTCCGTTATCAATTAAAAATATTTATTTTGTTTTACTTCTAACCAATAAATTTCGGTATAGGGATGATAACTAATTTTTTTTGGTTTGGCTGTTAGGTCAAGTAGTTGCAAAATATGAAAACCGTATTTTTGTTTTTTTTTTTGGCTTAATCATTAAATTATGGCGATACATTCAGTTAAAATGTCACAGTAAAACAAGTCACGCTTAATACATTTTCTACAAAACTGTGACATAACGAGTCCCCACTCCTCAACTTTAATGCCTGTTATATAAGCTATTTCTTGTTACATTGAAGTAAAAAAAAAAACGTATCTAATATTTTGTCATTATCTGACTGACGGACTAAATAGAGTTTGTCGTTTTCCCTGTCGTCATCCCTATCGTAGAACTTTGCGTCCAGTTATTCGGCTGATCGAAAGTCGGCCCGTTCAATTAATATCGGCTGATTATACCACTTCGCTGCGACAGATATACAGATATAAAAATTAGCAGAATTTAACAATGATGTTTAAGTGTTAATATTCCCTTATTATATCAGTGTCTATAGAGTGTGTTTGATCCCTAGGGTTTACTTCAATGGTGCCGGAACTATCTCGCTCCGCAGACCCGGTGTGGGCGTTGGGCAAACGAATGCACGGAGAATCGCCAGTTTCCACCTCAACGTCCAGGTAAAATTATTTTATCCCGTCATGCTTTTATATTAAATTGTAAAAATCATTTGGCGGACACTTTCATTGAACCCGACTACACTGAATTTTCATGTCCGGCGGTCCGATTTTTTCAGGTCCGATATGTCAGGCCATATGTAGGTAATGCGCGCTTGTGCACTGTCAGGAATTTTACCGTCCGGAATTTTACTTTTCTCTATTCCGGACCGGTTTTTTCAGTTCCGTGATGGCAGCAATGAAAAACGTGTTTACGCTTGTGCACTGCTGTGTCCGAGATCCGGAAAATTCATAAGGAATAGGCTTGGGAAAAAATAATCGATTTGAATCGATATTTATTTCGGCAATATAGTTAATTTCCAATAAACTTATAATCGATATTTATTGTTGATTATAAAATGCTATATTTTATATGATGATTCAATATAGTTGGTATATATCACAACTCGGTAAAGTTCTAATTTGATCAGCGTATGGTTCTAGTATCGATACTTAGCTAGATTTTAGAATCGTATTAAAAGTATCGATAGCTTAAGGTAAGATAAATAAGTGTTGTTACGCTTAGATGCCTAAACAACTGAACCCATCTAAATGGAAATTAATATAGTAAATAGACTTAACTCTAAGAAAGGACATAGGCTACATTTTATCGCGAAAAATAGGGGATGAAAGTTTGCCTGGAAATCTGTTATTATCAATTTTTTTTAGACAATTGATAAGTATAGATAAATATTCGACAACAGAAGTAATAATAAAGAATAAACAGAAGATTTACAAAAGTAATTAAGTGACACTCAATGTCTTTTTCGCATTTAATAAAATTGTTTGTGTCATTAATAAATTTTAAAAAAGAAGTATTCTAAGGGAAAAATATTTCTGCTCAAAGAAACTACACCACGCGTATAAAAATTATGCCTATATATAATACAGTCAACTGATCTCGTAAAGTTCATTTAGCATAATAATTCTCCGCTAACACGTCACTAATTTCGATTTGTTTACGAAATGGCGCCACCGATTGGTCTATCTCTGTAATCGCTGAAAGTTGTTTTTACAAAACTTCGAAAAAAAATAGCACGTTTAAAAATTTAAACATCAAGTACTAGACCATTATCAGTAATTTTATTCTAATGTCACAGATATTTTTAGCTATTGTATGTGAATAATGCTGTTCCTAAATAAGTAAGGGTATAAGTTTTTACATCTGATAGTAGTCATCCGATAGCAGTAAAAAAAAATGCATTCGTCTTGCCATAATTTATTATGGTTTATGTAAAACGATCAGATCATTATTTAGGTACCTTTCTACGTCTTCGAACGGAATTACCGACGTTCCAAAAATCTCATCGTACCTAGCGTAAGTGACGTGTAGCTTCAAAGAGAGCTGCACTACACTGCGCCGCTCCGATCAGGAAAAAAACGGACAAGTGCACAAGCTACTCATCCGAGTTTTTCATGTCATTCCGGACCGGAAAAAATCGGACCGCCGGACCTGAAAATTCAGTGTAGTCTGCTATCATCATTTTGGAAAACGAATTAAGTAATTTCATTATTTTTCTGAGGGTTTGCTTTCGTTTGACACTCATGTCATGATAGTGAATAAAAATAGCCAGGCCTACATTTTGAACCTTCCGCCATATTAGATTTTATTATCTGAACTAACTACGCTTTGCCATCTAAGATAAATTTCTATGCTTAATCAGCTTAAGATAAATTTCTATGCTTAATCAGCTTAAGATAAATTTCTATGCTTAATCAGCTTAATCGATTGAGGATAACTGCTTTAAAATTCTGTCGCAAAATTTGATGAACATAATATGAATATGCTTCAAGTCAATGAAATATGCGATGCAGATTTTTGTCGCGTGGGTCCTCCTACCGGTCGCCGTGTCTCAGTATCGATCGCAGCACTGATTGGACTCCCCATATGGGGTACACGCACGTCACCAGAGGTAAATATAACATTCGTTCATATTTTCATATGCATCATCATCAAGAGGTTCAGGCCTTCCTTATGGATGGTTAAGGAGGATTTTCATATGCAAAAACACTAAATCTGGTGTTGGTATTGGTCGGTTGTAACTATTGTAATATCAACATATTGAGTCCGTGCTTCGAAAGGCACGCTGATCCCGGCAGCATCTGCAGTCGTTAACACCTACCAATCCGCACTGGGCCTACGTGGTGTGTCACTCTCCTTGTTCGACATGGTTCCATCTATAGAGATGATCTGTGCCCCAGCAGTAGTCATTAATGGGACCAATTAATAAGTGCTTTAAATATTGTATGCATTCATATTTTGAAATTGTGGTCTTTTATTAAGTTCTGCAGGACAATTCTGCTAATATGTACTCAATAAACGCATTTCAATAGAATCTTAGTGTAATGTCTTCGTCACACACCGACGACTTTAGGTAAATATTACAATGGTAAAATGCAAGTAGTGAGATTCTATTTATTACGTATACGTATACGATTATTACGTAGACGTATACGTATACGATTATTACGTATACCTACATTAGCAGAATTGGCCTGCTGGACGAAAGACTCTGTTATAATCTTCAATCACACACAATCTTACAAAAACACACACAGACACTCCAGGTATAAGCTGCAATGAATGTTAAAGTGGATGTCGAAATGCAAAATCCTTTTTCTCCCGTTAGGTTATCCAGAATCCCGACCGTGGCGCAGCTCGTTGCCGGACGTCCGCTATGACGACACCGACGAGTTGGTGCACGAGGCCGAGGTGTTTCTGCGACGTTCCATAGACAATCTGCGGTACACCTCTTTAGATCGTGAGTAACGCAATAGTATTAAGAAAGGAAGGAACTTGAATAGATTTAGGTATTGGTGCTGGTGATGTTTTAGTACTTCGTTATGATAGATTAGACCGATTAATTAACGCTTTGATTTTCTGCTAATATTATAATGCTTTCAACCAGTGTAATTTGTAACTATTTACGTTTTTAGACGTTACGGATCTTTTGCAGAGTTCGAGACTAACTAACGTTTCAGTCTAGTGACTATGGAGCCGTCAATAGGTCCGATATTAGTAAAAAATATGTAAAATATACAAATTTTGAACGCTGAAACAGTTTAAGTGATTTTATTCAGTTAAAAAATTCTATTCGATGCATATGTTACGTTCAAAGATCGAAATCGCTCATTGGGTGAAAATATAGTTCATAACACTTTGTGGTCACGATGAAATATCCACATAATTAAATTCGTGTAAAAGCTCACGATGCGTTTTGGCATTCACAGAATAACCACATACACACCACAACGCTTTGTGGCAATTAAGAAAAGCCACGACGCGTTCTGAGCATTATTTTGTTTAACTAGCTGTTCCGTTTAACAATAGCCTTTCGTTTTAACTGATATACATTTTTTAGCATTCGTTAATTCTAGTTTTAATAAAGGCATTTAGTAAAAACTAGTTCTATCTCGAGAAACGTGTACTATCTCAAAACTAGTTTCAACTGTAATATATATATATATATACTCAATTAAAGTATTTAATGTAGTGGGGATAAACTGCTTTTGTGGTTGCTCCCGCGCGGAGCCGCATGCTGGAGTGGGGGGTGGTAGCGGCGGAGGGGGTAGCGGTGGAGGGGCGAGCGCGGGGGTGGGGAAGCCGTACATCCCGCGGGAGCCGCGACACTTACGCCTCGGGCACGCGGTGAAGGTGATCGCTCCCAGTGGACGACTGCACGTCGGCCGCGTACGGTGAGATATTTGTTATCACTCTAGCATGTATGATCACTCCTGATACTATTGTCAATACTTTAAAGGAAAAACTACACAACATAAAAAAATGTAATATAAAAACTAAATAATGTAATAACAATGCTCACAAAATACATTTAAACATCAACGGAATACGGATATATATCAATTGATATTTATAATATTAGTTCGAGTATTTAGTCTCAGCTAGAAAATTAACCAATCCGATGTGACTGGCAACATTAGCCCGACATTATTAGAAATTTCGTAATTTCAAAAGATTAAATATTAAATAAAGCCAAATATCAAAAATGGGAGTTTTACGAACCCTGGAAAAAATATATTACACAGATCACCATACGTTTGCACACATTGTTTATTGGACTGATAATTCTTATTTTATTTTACTTTCATGCGGCCTCTTAATTACCTTTATTTCTTGAACAGATACGTGGGTTTAGCGGGTGGTACAGCAGCCACCAGTAGCGTAGTGGTGGGGGGAGAGTTCCCGTTGGAAGGAGGGAGTTTACCGAGAAACGACGGCGTCTACCGCGGACGACGGTACTTCTTAACGCAGCCGCATTATACCGCTCTATTCGTGCCATTCTCTAAAGTTGTCATGGCTTGGGCTAATTGAATACGAGATTTTGAACTATATCTTCACGGGATAAGAAAGAAAATTTAATATACGGGTATGTAAGCTTCTTGCATATATTGTTGACAAGTGCGATAAAGCAAAACGGCACTAATGGGCAGTTTACTTATTAATAATTGTAAATTTTATTGATAAAAGAAGGACTGTACTATGATATAATTAATAGTCCTAATAATGTTTCCGCAGGATAGGTATAGGATTTTCAGTACCAGTAAAATACTATATCTATCAGTACACCTGAAAATCCTATATGACGCAGGCCTAACATGACGTTAAATATACATGAAAAATTGATGATAAAAAGTTTTTTAAGGTTCGAGTTATGAAAGTTATTATGAGGTTTATTTTCACTCAGGTGAATTGAGTATTATTTAGAACAATATTACTAATAGAAAGGTTATGTGTGGTTATCGTTGTTCTATGGGTATGTTATGTGGTAGATATAAGTTTACATTAACTGATTTTAAACGTACTTGACAATCCACATATCTTTCTTCACTTTCTATGTTGTGTCCGGCTCGAAGGACCAATCTCATTTTGGTTCTGATTTAGACTATACAGCAAGAATTTTTAATATTTAAATCGTATCTCTTTAAAAAAATTATAAAATCCAACTTATTCTGTTAACATCTTGTGTATTGTAAGATTTAATAAGTTAATAAATGTTAACATTTGATGTTATTTCATAAAATAGCCAACCTATTTATGACTAAGTGGAAAATATTTATAATAAAGTAATAAAGAGAGAAGAAATGAAAGTAAGGGAATGAAAATGGTGTTTTGCTGTAAACAAAATCTTGGACCTTATATTGTAATTTGTGTCTAATTCAACTTTAATGTGTGGGAATCATACAAATTTGATTGTGTGTTCACTCTTTTAGTATAGGCTAGTTTTATGCATAATGAGTGCGTATAATTTTAAGCCTCAATGGAATGGATTCCTATTTCTCTTTCCTTTGTATATGTAGTTGACATATAGAGGTTATAGGGGAATATTATGTATGTGAAATTTAACAAAAACTGTAGATTAATCCGCAGATATTTATATTGAGATTGTGGTATGTGAACAAATCTTATTTAAAACTAACACGTCGTTCAATGCCAACGCCATCTATAAAATGTCGTTACATTATGTGCGACATATTTTGTATTAAATCTTGCGGTAGGCACTTACTGTCGATGACTTTAAAGGCGCATTCTCATTGGTCGGTAGGGCCTGCATGCGTTTTTGAAGAGTCATTTTCACTAGTGGACGCGACGTCCTCATGTAGATTGCGGCAGACTTTATAGGCCATTATTGCGGAAATACCGAGAAGCTGAAAGAGGGTAGATCGATGCATCTGCCAATAACATCCACCCGCAAGACTTTAGTTAAACTATCGGGGACTTAATGAAAATACGGTACATGGTGGCGGACCCGTAATAATGGTTAGTGTACAGTACCTATACTAATCAGAGAAATGCGAATCGATACTGTGGAGATCGATATGTGATTTCATCCAACCAGAACTGTCAATATTTGAAATATTTTTTTTTTTACTGAATTCTTTATACAAAACTGCGGTAGTTAGATGTAGAGTAGGTACATAGGAATTGATGTGTTTAGGAGTGCTCGTGGCGATTTATCTATTATGGCGTGACACGACACGAGTAAGGTTCTTCGTCCGAACGTAGTTCGATATTGCTCACGCTTCTCTCAATTATGGTGCTCTAATATTTTTTTTCTAGTTTCTATATTAATTTATAATTTCTTTTATTACATAAATTATTGAAATTTGTGTCAATTTAATATTACATTTTTGCGCACGAGAATTTAAATTAATTCATGACGAACTCATTAATCATCATAAATAACAATGACTTTTTGAAAATGCATTTTTAGAATACTTGAGCACATAATATTTTTTGAATGCCTATATTTAAAAAAGAAGCCGCTTGATTATTAATCAGATGATCCTGTGTAGTTATTACAGACCTATTGAATTGAATATCACTCAAGATTGAATATTACTTTTGAAATCCTTTAATTACAAAACTCAAGCAACTTATAATAATACGGATATAATATACATTATTTTATAAGATATAGTCATTAGATGTAACCTTGATCTCTATTACCAAATTTTTATTTTTAATATGAATTTATAACTATGCGCTCAAAAATTTATAGAACATCCATACCGGCTTCATCGATATTAGGAGGTCATAGATCAAAAACATTAGCATAAATGTTAAATTTTTATGTTGGAAATCTTAGTTCCTTTTCGGCTTTTGGGGGCCGTTCATTAATCACGTGAGGTTTAAAAGAGAGAGAGGGAGTTCATCAAAAATCACGATATGCAAGGAGGGAGGGGGGTGTAGTCATATATCACGTGTATTTCTTTTTACCTAAAACGCGCGATTATTAAACCGAATGGCGGCGTCAAAAATTAAGTTTTTTTTTGTTGGTACTAAAAATACACGTGATTTTGGTGGAGGTGTGCGGTTGGTTTAAACTTCACCGTGTATCACCAAGGGGGAGGGGAGCTTAAAAAACGCTGAAAAAAAAACATCACGTGATTAATGGACCGCCCCCTAGGTAACGTAAGCGCATATCGTTATCGCGTGGAAGGATGCGGAAAGTCCTCCGCCTGCTTCGATAGTGTTTATTATTTATTCCTTATTATTTAATTAAAAAAAAAAATATTTAGGCAGCTAAATACGAACACGAGATCGATCTAGCAGGTATGGACGCACCTTTTTACTTTAAATTAATATAATATGTAAAAGTGATGTATGTATATCGATGCGTTGGGTAAAGTACTCTATATGTAGAACGGACCTACAATAAGATTGTGCGGCAGTGTCTTATTAGATTATGTGTGGGCCAGTCTTATATATATTTATATATGTAAATGAGTAGTTTACAGCAGTCTTTTATAAATATGTATTTACGGATTTTTTCTTTTGTTAGCTATAAGTATGAGTTATAAATAAACCTTTTGTATTTTGTTTCCACTTTATGTTATTTCATATGATGCTCGACCGCCTAATTCAAACCGCCTAACATGACCAAATTGAAAGCTATGAGAATAAATTTATAAAAAAATATCATCATTAAAAAAACATTGAATAGAATATTACTGTAGCTATCGCTTTGGTTATCGCTGAGTTAGGTCGGCTCGGGCGCCAGTATAAAATCAGCGTCAAACGCAGCGTACAGCCCGGCGCTGTCGCACCATAGAGGCAATCAAATAAAGCCTTTATTTATCTTTTGAAGTAAAAATTTGTCTTTTGAAGTAAAACAGCCTGTTATCGATCGTTTAACACGTGGACTGTATTATTGTTGAATTAAAGATAATTTAAAGCAATATAAAGATAATTTAAAAATACAAATACACAACACAACAAGGCAGAGCGCAATAGTGTAAAACGTGACT